ATGCTGCAGCCGTGTCAGATGGCTTCTCTAGACATTGGGATCATTGGGCACCAGTTGCAGCCATCCATCTCGAATGGAGGGCCTGCACCAGGCGCCTGGAGCACTGCTTTCCGCACAACGGGACGGCCGGGAAGGCCGGGAAGGCCGGGAAGGAAACAAGAAGTTTCCAAGGAAGTCTCCAAGGAAGTTTCCAAAGTCCAAGCAAAGCAAGTCCGATCGATGAAGCAAATGAACCAAGCGAGGCAAAGAGTCTTTGGTCCAGCATCCCTTAGCGGTTTGCTCGCTTTCGGCTGTGTCTGCAAAGCACGATGCCAGCGCATCAACAGCACAGCTAGGGCTGCAGTCGCAAAGGACAAGGAGAGTATCAATCAGGGTCAATGGAGACTCTGGATGGCCTGTGTGGCCGCGTTGCCGGGTAGCTTTCAGTATGGTTTCGGCTTGAGTGCCCTGACTTTAACACCGACAACTTCCATTCTCATTTCACTTTGACTTTTCAGACCCGTTTCAGAGAGTACTTTCGGTGATGCTGTTTGTTGGGGCTTTCTGGGCAGTTTAGGTGCAATCAACGTGCCTCAAATGAGCATTTGCAATTCATTGCACTTGGCCCCAACCTCTCTCACTTGGTCAGCGCTTGTGGCTATTTTATCACCCGCTGGTTTGGTTGGTGCTTGGTTGGCACCGTTGGCAGTATCCCGTTTTGGACCTTGGGCAGTCATTATGTTTTTTTTTGACGAAAGCTCAAAGCCGTTTCCAGCAATTATGTATATTAGAAGATACTACAAGATACAGAAAGTATCTATATAAGTACACATGGTATATATACGTAGAATTGTTGTGTTGAGTTTTTGGACGTCTCCATGCCGTATATCTAAGGATTGCTAACCTCGTTGCGAAGCACCTGGATCTTTTTTGTGATTTCGGGAGTTCTTTTTCCCATGGCACGTTTTGCCGCATCCAAAGCATCCCTGTGTGGCCTCTTGCTGTTTGCTGCGGGCCGTGTGGTGGGTGGCTTTGGTGCTGGTGCTGCCACGGTGTTGGTGCCGCTGTACCTCGGACGGATTGCTCCGTTGAAGCTTCGAGGAGCCATTGGCAACTTGCACCAGGCGTCCAAAGATTCTAGAAACAGCGCCGCAAGACTTGCCACTGGAATAGTTTTTTAATGTTTTTTACATATCCGAAAGCCATGGAATGATATGGAATGTGGCTTACAATCATTGGACGGTCTTAGGAATGAAAGTTTGGATTCGACTGTGTGCACATCCTGGTGGGAAAGTTTAGTGTAACTGGAGACATCTGCAGATATCGTCGATCGCAACTTTTGAAGGTGGCCATTGTGCTGGGACTCCTAGTCGCCCAGTTCGCAGGCAGGATGTGGTGCTGATCCATTCTTGGTCCATGATGGATCAGGTTGGCCTAGTCTAACACTGATTTTGCAGAGTTGCTGCAGGTTGTTGCCGGGCCAAAGACGTTGAGCAATGCAAGCGTAGAAGATGTGCGAACAGCAAAAGACCCAATTGCATGTTTCATGCACGGTATGACGGTATGTGCATAGCTGTATAGCCCATACAACCCATACATACCAGATATAATTACACAGATGATCACAGATACATTTTCGAAGCATCTGAAGCATCTCGCCCCACATCCGGCAAGTTGATGAAGTTTCGCAGGCGCCTTGCTTTCCTGGCCAAGGGCGCTCCAAATGGCTGCTGCCTTCGGAATCCTCCAGTACTTTGGACTCAAACCATTTGACACCCAGAAGAAAAGCATGAGAAAAGTATAAGAAAAGCACTTTAAAGCGATTCAGACAGATTCAAACAGCCAAGTTGGTGAAGACCGGTTATTTTTTTTGCACCTGCAGCCGGCCATGTGGCCAGATGGGGGTCAAAGCATGGAAGGCGCCAAACTTGTTGGCGAATGGCCCGAACAGGATCCCATGAAGTCGAACAAAGGGCTCTGCACATTCTGCATGTGCGTTTGGTGTGAAGATGTGTGAAGCATTGTGAAGCCCGTTAAAGTATGTGAAAGTGCATTGCTCTCTACTCTGTACTTTCCTGAAACCTCGAGAACCGAGGCTTTTGATGTCACCGCTGCTTAGAGAAGTTCCGCAGATCCAGGAGGAGCGTTGACCATTTTCCTCGGGTCATGTCCGGTCAATTCCGGTCATGTCGGGCCTCGCGGTCTGTTTTGACGAGTTTTGCCATGTTTTCCCACACGGTGCCATGTTTTGCCATGTTTTGCCTGTTCTCCAGGAAACGGCTGGAGGCGGTTTCAGAGTTCTTCTGACTGATCCTCAAGTGCGCCGGCCTTTGTCCATGGCGATCATTCTCATGGCTTTGCAGCAATATTGCGGTATCAATGGAAACTTGGTGATTCTAAAGATTGTGAAGTGTCAAGATTGTCAGTGGATCGGGCACGGGTTCTCATTGCTGCTGTTGTTTTGATCATCGGCTAAGTAGGGGCCTTTAAAGAAACGGTCATATTTTGGCTCAATTTGTTTGATATCTTCAGCTACTCGTAAATAAAGGAACAGTCATGATGCCCTTCCAATTCTGCAGTTCTTTCTTTGACAGATTTTGCTTTCCACATTGACATGCTCCTGCCATGGAGAAAAGTGTTGGCACAGAACAGAGACAGATTCGATTTGTTCCACTTTTGCCTGCGCGTATTGTTCACCAGGCAAAGGTCCTGTTTTGCATTTAATGCTAGTCAATATTGTGGGCAAGTGTGCTATATGTGTACACATGCTGACTTGCAAATGGAGCATGCATGATGTCAGCTTGAGTTGCTTGGACATTTTAAACTATTAATGCTGGTAAAAGTAAAAGCGATATGAGATTGATATTTTAGGAAATCATATCTATTGCACAACTGGATCAACTGGTGATTTCACATTTGGTGATTTCAGAAGCGAAAGGATGTCAATGGGCGAGGTTTCAACCACATATTGGACTTCAGCAAAGATATGCAGAGTGTACCCCCCAAAAGGACCATGTGAAGGACCTAAGGCAGCACTTTCGCAATTCATGGGGTCGTTCTAACAATGCTGCGCATCTTGGCACTGTCCGGTCATGACGCATCCTTTCGTGGGGATGATTTGCACCAGATCAGCGCAAAAGAATGCAAAAGAGTACAGCGGCTGCGTCGCACAGGTCATTCACCATTTCAGCAGCTGATACTGGACGGATTTGAGCTGAAAAACAACCAGACGATTGAAGACGTGACTTTGCCCAAGGAGATCACGCTCGTACTGCGACCTGGGGTCAGGAGGAACGGCCTTTGCAAGATTGACAAAATATTGAAGAAGCCCGTGGGCCCAGATATTTCAGAGGGAAAGACGCCTTTAAACACCTTGCATGTGAGTTGGGCTTGGTTGAAGTCACACGGATTTTGCTGGAAGCTGGGGAGCGAACCCACCAAAGCCACTCTACAGAGAAAGCCTGCGAATGGCCTGTGAGTTGGGACATGTGGATGTGGTGCAGTGCTTGATTGATGCCAGGGCCAGCATCGATGACCCTGAACCCTTGCGGATCGCTTGTGAATATGGCAATGACAAGGTGGCATTACTTCTAATTCAGGCAGGGGCTTCTCTGGGAAGAAGATGGGTGAACAGGAGCTGCACTGGGCTTCTGTCAATTCTCTGGAATACGTGGTGCAGATATTGAGTGCCTCTGATGCCTTGACAACGAGAACTTCAGTGGCGTCGCGCCATTGCACTGCTCCAAGCCGGTCACCTCCGAGTGGTGAAGATGTTGCTTTCAGGTGCTGCCAAGGCTCAGAAAGATGGGCGAACACTGCACGTCGCTGCTGCAGGTCATGTGGATGCGGTGCTTCTCAAAGCTGGGGCGACAGACGAAGAAGATATTGCCGGGAGAACAGCTTTGCATTTGGCCATATTTGGCTTGTGCCGCAAGGGTAGCATACGTTTTGAGAGAAGCTGGAGCTACCCACAAGAAGGACGCATTTGGGGAAGAACCCTTCCAGATCCTTCCAGTTATTCCTTGGCAAAACGCCAAGGAAGCGATGGGCAGACAGATTTGAAAGTCGCTGAGGAAAGTGCAGGAAAGTTCGGTTTTTCCTACCTGCGACACAGGATGACACAAGCAATCCTGCAGGTCACCTTTTGAAACGCGTCAAAAAAGTCATGCTCATGATCATCATGATCATCATGATCGTGAGTTCATAGAATGACACATGGTGTCTGCTAGTATGGAACATATGGAACAATAACAACTTTGGACAACATTGGGCATCACATGTCAAGCTGTGTCAAGGAGTGTGGTACTACAGCACGGAGTTCTTCACTCAAGCTGGTTTGCCAAACCCACTGGCTGGATCTCTCCTGTCCTCAGTGATTTTCATGTTTGCGACGCTGGCTTCGGTGCCGTTAATTGAAAAGGCCCAGGGATGTTGAAGTTGCAGAGCCTCGACGGGCATGCAGCATGCTCAAATCCATGCACATTCACGGATATCTCTTGTAAGATCTCGTAGGTAAATGTGTTTTTAAGCTTCCAGGGGCAGGCTTGGTGGGCAGGGCCGAAGCATCTTTCTGGTACACTCACCTGTGAAATTTTGCGAGGCGGGTCGGCGCCGCTTGTTGCTCCGCGGGCAGATCGGTGCAGCAACCTCTTTGGCTTTGCTCACAGCGTCATTGCTGGCCAACGTTGTTTTTTGGCTGAACCAGGGTGAACCAGCAACGAAAAGATGAGATGCCGGGCCTGCATCAAGAATGATTCAAGTTTTTGAAAGGGCTTTGTTAACATATCATAGAATAGAATGATAGAATGGTTGGGGACCAGGACATGAGATTGAGCATGATTGGGCTAATGGTGAAAGTCGCATTCTCTTTGGGGCTTGAGCTTTTGAGTCAGTCATGTTGTGTCATATTTCGTTGGAAGCCTACGTCACAGTTGATACTGGACAAGGATTCCTGGAGATCTTGAGGTGGTCCAAGAAACAAAATGCGGTTTAACACGCCAAATCGAAAGGAATGTCTACGCCTGGATAATACATGTTAATACCAGCCACCAATCTGTCAACATTTTCCAGCAATTTCAACCTGAAAGATTCCAGCTGTTCCACTTTGGCATCCATCTATCACATTCTATCATAAGCTGAGTCAGCCTGCGTTTGAGGCTGGTTTTGGCGCCTGGACCGTACAAATCACTTTGGCTGCTGTTATCGGTTTCGTGGTGTCCTTTGCAATCAGTGCCTGGATTAAAAGGGAATGAGTCGACAGCTGGAAGTTCGCTTTCAGATTTGGCGTGCACTTCACAAACGCGTGTGTCACAAGGTTTGGGGCCCATCCCTTGGCAGATTGCGAATCTTGGACTGCTATCTGGGTGGGGACTAAGACACACATGCAAGAACTTTTGAACATAGAATTCTTGGCGCCAAGAAAGGTATCAACAGAGTTCCCACAGCAGACCCTTCGTGTTTTGAGCCGTAGGGAAGGAGTCAGGATCCGCTAGCGGAACTGGAAGCTGAGAACGCGTGCCCGAGGTTCTGAAACTTATCTCCCATTTCCTGGGACATATGATTTAACATATATTATATAGTAGATAGATAGATAGATAGATGGATGGATAGGATAGGATTAGATAGATTAGATAGATTAGATAGATTAGATAGATTAGATAGATTAGATAGATTAGATAGATTAGATAGATTAGATAGATTAGATAGATTAGATAGATAGATAGATAGATTAGATAGATTAGATAGATTAGATAGATTAGATAGATTAGATAGAGTAGATAGAGTAGATAGAGTAGATAGAGTAGATAGAGTAGATAGATAGGTAGATAGATAGATAGATTAATAGATTAATAGGTTAATAGGTTAATAGATTAATAGGTAGATTAGTAGATCGATTAGATCGATTAGATCGATTAGATCGATTACTGTAGATCGATTACTGTAGATCGATTAGATCGATTAGATCGATTAGATTGATTAGATTGATTAGATCGATTAGATCGACAAGATCGACAAGATCGACAAGATCGACAAGATCGACAAGATAGACCAGATAGACCAGATAGACCAGATAGACCAGATAGACCAGATAGACCAGATAGACCAGATAGACCAGATAGACCAGATAGACCAGATAGACCAGATAGACCAGATAGACCAGATAGACCAGATAGACCAGATAGACAAGATAGACAAGATAGACAAGATAGACAAGATAGACAAGATAGACAAGATAGACAAGATAGGTAAGATAGATAAGATAGATAAAATAGATAAGATAGATAAGATAGATAAGATAGATAATAAGATAATACGATAATAAGATTAAAGGATAATAAGATAATAAGATAATCAGATAATAAGATAATAAGATAATAAGATAATGAGATAATGAGATAATAAGATAGATGGATAGGATAGGATAGGATAGGATAGGATAGATAGATAGATCGATTAGATCGATTAGATCGATTAGATCGATTAGATCGACAAGATCGACAAGATCGACAAGATCGACAAGATAGACAAGATAGACAAGATAGACAAGCTAGACAAGCTATACAAGATAGACAAGATAGACAAGATAGACAAGATAGACAAGATAGACAAGATGGACAAGATGGATAAGATGGATAAGATGGGTAAGATGGATAAGATAGATAAGATAGATAAGATAGATAAGATAGATAAGATAGATAAGATAGATAAGATAGATAAGATAGATAGGATGGAATAGAATAGAATAGAATAGAATAGAAATAGAATAGAAATAGAATAGAATAGAATAGAGTAGAGTAGAATAGAATAGAATAGACAGATTAGATTAGATTAGATTAGATTAGATTAGATATATTATATTAGATTAGATAGATAGATAGATATATAGATTTATATACACACATATCCATGCGGGCCGGCCCAGCCGGCCAGCCGGCAGACTAGGCCGAAGTTTTCCTAAGAACCAAGAAAAAACAACAGAACCAAACGAAAAAGCAAAGATTTAGCAACTAGTCCAAAAACAATAATTCGGGATTTGTTTCTTTGGGTGTGTGCGTGTGTGTGTGTGTTGTTGATTTTTTTTTCTTGTTCTTTTTGGTTTTTGCGCGGCATTCTTTGGTCCGGATACAAGGAGATATCCAATACCAATATTGACCACCAAAATCAATGGATGTATCTGGAACATGGCTTTTGCGTCGCCCACAACAGGCTTGTCTGGAAAGCAAACATCGGGCTCCAAGATTCCCAGCGGTCACAAACATAAGTTTCCCAAACACAACATTTACCAGATCACTTTTCTGAAACACAATTCCAAACACGTTGTGTCCAAGATGTCATCGAACAAGAAGTGCCGTTCCAACATGTGCCACGCATTCGCAGAAATCATATCACCAAATGAAACAACAAAAGACAACACATTCCTTGAGAAGATTCCAAAGGAGCGGTTCCCATGCAGAAGGTTCCCAAACTGAAATTTGTGAATGAGATAGCGATAAAAGGTCCCGGCAAGCAGCCTGAAGAGGAGGTTTGAAAACCAAAGGCTGCCCAGGACAGGATGATTTGTTTCAAGGTTTCCGACTTTCCCAAGGCCATGTTCCCAGCATTAGGAACGTTGTGGTCTCTCAGGAACGAGATCTTCCCACTCCGATGCCGAGCAGAGGTTGGTGGATGGTTTTGGCATGCTTTTGGCACCAAACCTGGCAGAAACATGTTTTGTTTCTTGTGGCAAGGTTGAGCAAACCGTTTGGACATGTGGATAGCACGGTTGTCCCCGATGTGCAGCATTTGAACCATGCGGCGACATCTTGGGACATGTTTGCGGTCAGGCGCAGTGTCTTATTGCTTCGCACCTTGGAAAAAATTAGATGTATTTCAGAATATTTAGTTGTTTTTTCTTAGTTTCGAGGATGCTTCACTGCAGGCCACTTGATAACTTGATGCTATTCGACCGAACCATGCAGTTGTTTTCCGTTGCTGCCTACCCAGCTAAGTACAAACAAATTGGTCCTAGTTGCAACTCTCACAAACCCATCGGGCAAGGGAAACATGTGAAATAGCAAGGCTTTGCGAGATCTTCAGCGCCAGTGTTGCTCTGGGATTTCCAGTTCCTTCGCCGAATTCATCTGAAAAGATGCTCTTATTGTTGTGGGGTGTCTAGCTTCCAGCCTTAGGTCCTACAACAGTCATTGGGAGCCCCTCTGGCGTTCACACCGAGCATCGCGGCGCTTTGGCAGCAAGTCTGGGGCGGAGACATAATATGTGGCATCCTGCGGCATCCTGCGGCATTGGCGTGTTGGTGTCCTCACGACACCATGAGGTGCTTGCGGCTGGCTTCGCTTATGTCAGTAGGAAATTGCCAGCCAGTGTCCCAGGCAGACTTGCAAAAGGCACCCGTGGTGAGTACAGAAAAACGTGAGCATGCAAAACCGGGTGAGGAGCAAAACCAGGTTGCAATCATTCAGAATTGCAAGGCGAAAGGCATTTGTTGGAAGGGTGATGAAGGGTGTTTGGCCTTCCTTCGATATACTGTTTGCTGTGATTGGGCATCCAAGGAGACGAAGAACCGAGAAGTGGAAGACATCTTGGCAGACTTCAATCAACGATGATGTGGAAAATGGCCTTGCAGACGCGAGCGCATGTTCTTTGTTAATATATTTGCTGATGAACCCAACCCGTTGGATCCGGCAGCGCGAGGTCCTATGATTTCCTATGTATTGTGTGTTGTTTTAAATTATATTCATTTATATTCTATCCCAGTGATCGGCCACATTGAAACACACGGATGTGTAGGGCCAAGTCCGGCTCAAGGGAAACCCAACGCCATTTTGGTGGAGTTGAATTCGAGTTTCCTGGCAGTCCGGAAGTGCAGGAACGAGATTAATCAACATGTTTTTGGGGGAATGCAATTCTAAAAAAAACTGATTTGGTTATATTTGGTTCATGTTGTATCATGTTGATTCTGTCTTTGTGTGGGGTGCCATGAAAGAAAAGCCCGAACAACCCCAGTGTTTTCTGTACAGTTCCCTCAGATTTTTGTCTATTTGATGTGGTTCAATGGGAGTTTTATGGGGATATATGTCAAAATCATAGCAACCTTCAATGGGATGATAAGATAGACAGAATAGACGTCTCTTTCTCGCTATAGTTAGTACTTATTGAATGTCTGTTATAATAATGGCCCAGTTTTGGATTTTGAATCCCATGATCTGTCTACATATATGTCATTATATTATATGTCTACTGTATTACGATTCCCAAATAAGAGTTTTGGCTTTGAATATGGGGAGAGATCTCCAGAAAATGTACTTTTATTTTGCATCTAGATAAGCGCCCGTATATTTCGTGGGAGTTCGATGGGGATATATCTCCAAAAATGGCGAGGATTTGTTGCCGGGTTACCCAACTAGAACTGAGAGATTTTCCAGCCACAGACATGTGATTGCCGGAGGGGAATTGATTTATGGGGGTCATCCTGGGATGAACATCATTTAGATTTATGGATGCGAACATCAGAAAATTGAATGTAGATGATTACATGTAGCTACCCATCCCCATATGTGTTATAGTCATGTGGATGTATGATTCATACTGATTCATAGTCATCACTTCAACACCTATGTTTCTTTCCAGAAGGATTGTTTATGCGTCCATCATCCTCATGTACTTCCAAACTTGATGCAACTGCTTGCGAAATGATTCTTGCAACAGTCAAATTGTGCAGCAGTGGAAATGACCATCTTCAGCACCAAAGGTGACAAAATCTTCAGCACCAGGGTGGCCAGTTTTACGAGTTGTGGCCTGAGTCAAGACTGGTCGGCCTCATGGGTCAACATAGGTCAACATTTAGGAGGCAGCTTTTGGTCATTCTTTGTATTCATGCAGCCATCCAATTTTTTGGGGACCAGAAATTTGATCCATACCCAAGCCTGAGCAGCGCAAGATGAACAGCGAATCACATGATTTTGGCACAGCGGTTCGACCTGCTAGCAAAAACATACTTCAAATTGGACCTTCAACTCCTTGTTCTGTTTGTGCGACGTCTGGAGGCGATTTTGAAACCTCATACAACTTCTATCAGGAGGTCTCCCATGTAGAGAGGTCTTGTTCGTCATTTCGCCTCATGAGGGGCCATGAGGTTTTTCAAACAGCCGCCTAAAGAAGTTCTTTTGAGTATGGACCCATAGATCCATAGATCTCTTTGAAACCTTTGAGCGGCTTGCCCCCCGAACAACGAAGGGATTGCGGTGGGTCAGGAACAGCTCTTGCAGAAGAAAACATATTTTGAGAGCCGCAAAGACATCAGACCCTGCCGTATTCCAAGAATTTTTTGAGACTTTATGACACTTTTTGAGTTCGGATGCAATTCGATGCCAAAAAGGAATCAAGTTCCAGTGACCCAAAATTGAAAGACGAGGAACACCTTCACACTCTTTGGAGCTGCAACTATCTTCAACCCGACTTCCAAAACCCCAACCAAGGGTTGGTCCGAGGTTCAACCAGCCGCACAAGAGTCTTTGCCTTGCTGCAGGCATCCTTGTATTGTTTTGCATTTCATTCAAATGCGGAAAAATCATTTGTGATCATTTGTGTACGAAACCCTGTGAAGGTGGCAGGTGAGCAAAGGCACTCGCTTCAATTTGTGAGTGCGAGTGTGCGCAAGCGGCGCAGTGTTCCTAGAGAATACCAAAGACCAAGACTATGTCCTTCCAAATGATGTCCTCGCTTTCGGTCTGTCTTGGAGATTTTGCAGTTACTCCACATCCCAGAAGATTCTAAGACATCTTAAGCTGGACTCTGGAGCAAGGCACACTCAAGCGGGGCTTGGGGCTTGGGGCTTCACCACAAGGGTGCCCCAGTTACGTTTGGTATAAATGATTTATAACCCCATTAACTAGTTCAATACATCTACCATAAACACCGAATGGAATTCACCTAGTTCACCCCAATATTCCCCATGTCGATGTACGGTTCACACCATCTCATGTCATTTGCCTGCGTGTACAGGCTGGAATTCTTAGGCCTTCATGTGGCCGTGGCTACGGTGGCCCAATGTGCGCATAGGGCGCCCTTGGGCAACAGCAATGGCACCTGCGGTGATTCCGCTCTGAGGTGTTTGGAAAAGGAGATTGAGAAGCTGCCGCAGACTTTGGGGGCTGCGCAGTGGGTTTGGCCTTGGTTGATTGGATACTACATCCACCTGTTCTTCCTGGGCTAGATCGATATTGGTAGCGGAGCCCATCCTGGGCTGCCGCGGCGCTTCACTACTTCCTGCCGGTGGACATCGCCTTGGCCGAGCTCTTTGGCAACATGCCTGGTGGTGGAAACGGTGGAACTGGTGAAGCGAGCAAAGCTGCGCAACTGCTGTGGTGACGGCCAACGGAGATGGAGGAGCACCTGGGCAACAGAGCTATGAACGCGGCCTTGACTCAGGCCTTGCAAAAGCAGCTCCATCAGCTCAGGGGCTTAGCCAAAAGACCTACCGGTCTTACAGAAGGAGACTGGACCTGTTCTCACGACAATGCCGGCGACGGGGGACATCAGTGGCTGTGGAGGGCGCTTTTTTGGTGCTTTCTCAGCTACAAGACGTGGCTTGGGATGCTTCAGAGAGCATCGACTATGATGACATCGAGCTGTCCGAGGACCCCTTCCAGCCCATTGTCAAGGTCTTGGACAACCTGTTTCAACATGAGGAAGAAGTTGAACTACCTGAACGGTGCCAAGAGTTCTTTGAGCAGTTCCAGCGAGAACGACAAGAAGAGCTACAAGCCTACTTGGTGAGACACGCCACCATGCTGAAGAAGCTCAAGGACTTGCAGGTTGTCTACTTGCAGGATGGCATCTCTTGACGAGATCGGGGGTGCCGCGGTGGACACATCCTCAGGTCAAAGCTATGTGCAATGGCAATCTGACCGTGGATGGTGTTGCAAGATCCCTGACAAGAATGTTTGGCGGTGACAGCAAGCCCAATGCAAAGGACACCACCTTCCGCAATGACGTCCACATGGTTGAGAATGACTACAACATGGATGACGACGAGGCCTATGAGACCTACTACTATGACGACGAAGAGGCCTATGAGATCTACTACAACCAGGACGAGGACGACTACATGGATGATGCCTACTACCAGGACACTGTGGCCGATGAAGAGATCCCTCAGGACCTCGACGAGGCAACGTTGGTGGTTGAGGATGCCTGCATCAACTACTTGGACAGCCGTCGCAAGATGAGGGAATTAGCTCTCTCCCGTGGGTTCTACCTGGTGGTTGCCATTGACATGAATGACAACTACGGCAAGGGTGGTGGCAAATCCTATGGGAAAGGCCGCAACTCTGGCGGTGGAGGCAAATCCAAAGGGAAGTCAAAAGGCAAAGGTGGTGGCAAGAGCAAGGGCAAGGGCAGTGGCAAGAGTTTAACCAACCACTTCCTGGAGCCCGACGTTTTGTCTTTGGCCGGAAGTCACCTTCCGAAGGTGGATCCACAACGACGACATCGACAACGGCACGATCAACGACCAGTGGGAGTACATCACAACATGGTCCTCGGTTCAAGCGATATCGGTTGCCAGCATCTGGAATCAAAGAAGTCCCAGATGAAGCACACATGGTCGAAGAGCCATATGGCGCTACGCCAATTCCAGGAGAATTTCACCAACATGAAGAAATCAACTACATCTCCCAAGGAGCTGGTTGGGCTATCATGGATAGCGGTGCTACTCGCACTGTTTGTGGTGAAGCAACCTGGGAAAGAATTTCAAGCTATCTGACCATGCGTGGCCTCGAAGCTGAAATCGCCCGAGACTCAAGAGATTTCAGGTTCGGTGATGGGGTCACTGTGCGATCTCACTACTGTGCCAGAACACCAGTCTGTGTTGGCAAGACATGGAGGGACTTGGTGATCCATGTGCTGCCCAGTCACACACCTTTACTTCTTGCACGACCTGATCTGGAAGCTTGGAACGTCATGGTGGACTACGGCAAGAAGATGATTCACATCGACGGTGTGGAGATCAAACCAGTTTTGACGGCCAACGGGCACTACATGATCAACATCTTCGATGACTTGCAGGATGTCTTGCACATCGCCGACCTCTTTGTGAAGGACGACAACGACGAGCAGGTGTTCTTGGACAGCGTCATCACAGATCAGATCTCTGATGAGGAGATGGACTTGGAAGTTGATGTCGGTGATGACATGATCGATCAGTGTGTGTTCAGCGCTGTCGAGAAGAGCAAGCTGAACGATCGAAAACTGAAGTTCTGTGAAGTCTACGTCGATGAGGGCAACCTGTGCAAGTATCTGATCAAGAACTTTCCTGACGTGGAGGTTCATCAATTTTCCCTTCCACAATGGAACTTTGAATGCAGGGAAGCTCAACGAGACTTCCGCAAAATGCTGGCTGATGAGAAACCTCATCATGTGCTCATGGCACCTGAGTGCCGTCTGTGGTCACCAATGCAGACCATGAACTACAAGACCCCAGAACAAAAAGCACTACTACAAGACCTGGAGGAGGAGACGCACTTGAAGTTCTACGAGAACGTCCACAATGACTGCAAAGAGATCCATGCTGATTGCACTCTGGAGCAACCAGCTGATGCTATGTCTTGGAAGACTGACACACTCCAGCGGGTGAAGGGCTACTTTGAGACCGTCCTGGACAGATGCCGAACTGGACCCAAGGCATCGCCTGATGATCCCAGATATGTGCGGAAGCCCACCATGATCCGGTCTTCATCGAGACGGGTGTGCGAATCTGTCAACTTGCGCTGTCAATGCACCAATGGGCACACTCAGATGATGGGTCGTGGAGCAGTTCTCAAAAAGATGCAGAACTACGAACCCGACATGGTTCGAAGAATGGGCAACGCCATCTACCAGTCCATGGAGGAGATCTGGATCCGACGTGGCCAAGCTGACCTCATGATGCTCGACATGGTGGAGAAATCCAATGAAGAGAGGCAGTACCTGGAGCAGAACAAAGAATTGGTCAAGATCGGTGGCACCGACGTCCTCAAGTCGGTGGCGCTGCTGCATCGACAGCTTGGACACCCCAATGGATCCAAGTTGGCATTGGCTGCCAAGGTCCGACACATGCCTGATGAGTATGTGCAAGTGGCTCGACGCTACAAGTGTCCTCAGTGCCTAGCAAAGGCGAAACCAAAATGTGTGAAGGTTGCAACCCTTCACAAAAGCCCACACTTCAACCACACTGTGGCTTTGGACACCTTCTACCTGGAGTGGGACAAAGAAAAGAAGGCAGTTTTGTCTATCTTGGATGAGTTCAGCCGCTATGAGGTTGACTGCGAGACCAAAGAAGAAACAGCCGAGATGGAGATTGGCTTGTTTGAGTCGGTGTGATCGAAATCCTTCGGCTACCCCAAGGTGCTTCGACTGGATGCTTCTGGTCCCCATCAAGGTGAAGCCTATGCAGATTGGGCATCAGCACACGGCATCCGACTTGAACTCATTTGGAGCACATCATCGCTTGGGCATCCTTGAACGCAACCATGCAGTTCGAAGAAAGATGCTCGAGGTCTTCAAGCAGGACATGCCTGACTGCACCTTTGACAAGGCTCTTCAAGTCACAACTCACCAAAGAAATCGGCTCAGCTCAGTGAAAGGGTCAACGCCTGCCACTTTGGCATTTGGCTATGTTCCACCTGAAGGTGGAAACATGGATGAACCTGGCCCCGAAAGCTTTGGAGATCAAGCCGATCTACCTCGAATCATGGAGACCAAGCAGAAGGCCGCCATTGCCTTTCACAAGGCAAACCAAGATCTGGCACTTCGTGCTGCAGCATTGGCTCGATCTCGAGTCGAGGAAGACGAGCTCATGGTGGGGGACTATGTCTTCTACTGGAAGCCTCAGACTCACAAGCTTGATCCTTTCCGATGGAGAGGCCCCTGCATGGTCATTGCAGTGGAGGCCGCCATGGATCGGGCCAACATGATCTACTGGATCGTCCATGGGAGCTCTTTGGTCCGTGCCACAAGACAACAGCTTCGACATGAAACTGCTCCTGAACGATATGAACGGCAACTCCGACCTGGAGCTGAAAACGATCTTCAACGACCCATTGCTGAACGAGTTCTTCAAGCTCTCCGTCCTGTGCGTGGGCCAGTGCGCGGATTGGACTTAGCCGCCAAGGCCCAGAGTCCTGATGATTTCCCTTCTTTGGGGGGACACGCTTCCACTCACGCTTCAGCAACAATGCCGGCACCTACTACCACTTCAATGCCACCCCATGAACCGGCTGATCCACCAAAATCGGTCGACTCTGAAGATGAAGAAGAACATGAAGCTGGTGAGGGCGTGAAGAAAAAGAAGAAACGACGAAAGCACAGAGACAAGGAGAAGCACAAGGCTGAGATGAAAACGGCTGAAATGGTTCGTGAGAAATTCCCAGCTGGAGTGGAGGAGATTCACCCTGTGGACTTGGAATTGGGGCAGAACCTCCGGAAGGGGAAACAGAACAAGCCGCAGCCAGTCAGGCTGAAACGCCTGAAGATCAAATGACTGATGAACAGAAAACAATGCAAGAGGTGATGAGACAGATCAATCCGGACGCCATGGAGTCCCGGAATGACATCGCCGAAAGCCCTTCTTACAACAATCAAGGAGGAGACGACCGTGCTCGAGAGCGACGGGACAATGAAAGGGCAATCCGACTGGCTGGTCAACTTTCTGACAATCAAGCTCGACGACTTGATGGACTACCTCCTCGTGCTCATGACGGGCAACCTCAACAGAAACAGGCCAGGACCGAAGAGATCCACTTGGCCGAGATCCCTCAAGAGGAGATCCTGCAGACGGTGGTCGAAAGCCGTCTGAGCCCTGAAGAGCGCAAGACGTTCGTCGAGGCCAAGAGAAAGCTTTGGCGCCATGGACTGAAAATGATGCCTGGCGACCTGTGGACCGATCCCGATGCCCCAAAGGCACATTGGTCCCCATGCGCTTTCTCTTGCGCTACAAGGAGAACAAGCCCCATGCGAGAGTCATCCTGCAGGGCTTCAAACACAAAGATGTGGTGGAGTCAAAGCTTGACACCGAATCACCGACACTGTCAAGGTTGGGCAAGTACCTCATGGTCCTCTTTGCCTGCACCAAACGATGGCGTGTTGGCACCATGGACGTCAAGAGTGCTTTCTTGCAGAGCGACTACATCCACCAGGAGGTCGAGATCTATGGTGAGCCATCGGCCGACATGCGCCGGTTGCTTGCAGAGATGATTGGACTCTTGGAGCACCAAGTCATGCAGATGACCAAGCCTGCCTTTGGTGATGTTCGAGCACCACGACAGTGGAATGAAACGGCCGACAAGGCCTTGGTGTTCGACGTTGGCTTGCTCAAACATGAGCTGGATGGTTGCATCTACATCTCTGTCCGCTTGGCCACCAAGGACGACCACGAGTTCTGTGTCTTCGAGATGGATGGACAACGATGGGTCGTGGATGGACTTTTTGGAATCCACGTGGATGACATCATGGCTTGCGGTGAGGGTGTCAACAGCCCCGATGACGCAATTGCCCCACAAGGTGATCAACCATGCTGCTTTGCAGAACGACTTCATGTGCTACTGCATCGCTTCAAGTTTGGATCCATCGAGTACCACGACAACCAGGTCTTTTGTGGCACCAACATGGCCCAATCCTTCGACGGCACGGCCGTGACCTTCAACCTGGAGAAGTACATCCACCAGCTGAAACCACTCATTGTGGAGAAGTTCCGCAAGACACAGCCCAATGAGCGAGTCACCCCACGTGAGCAGTCACAGCTCAGGGGATTGCTGGGAGCCCTTGCATGGCCTTCCTTTCAGACACAACCACACCTGGCTGCATCGGTTTCCCTGGCTCAATCGGCCACATCTTCAGCCTGCATCAGTGATTTGCTGGAGGTCAACAAGACCCTGCGATTTGCCAAAGAATCTGCGGCCACGCACCTGGTGATCCGGTCTCATGGAGCTCTACATGAACTCCGTTTTGGAATGTACTGTGATGCCAGCTGGGCAACGAGGCCAGATGGATCATCTCAGGGTGGATGGCTGATCTTCGTGACCAACTCTGAGGAGCTCAACGGCAACAAACCTTTCCCACTGACAATCATCGACTGGGCGAGCAAGCGCCTGACTCGAGTGTGCCGAAGCTCATGCTGCCGAAGCGCAGACAATGGCAATGGCAATCGGCTCACTGGAATGGCTGAAAAGCATGTTTGCTTTGATGATCTGGCCGAACCAGAAACCCGACAATGAAGAAATCATGAAATGGCTCGGTGAGTCACCATGCATCACCGACGCCCGAGCTCTCTACGATGCCAGTGTCAGCAAAGCCCCTGGAATGAAATTGGCTGACAAAAGAACAGCCATTGAGATCAAGATGAGCTGCGAGAGAATGGCTGCAGCAGGAGGCATGCTGAAGTGGTGCAACAGTCACCAGCAACTGGCTGATGGAATGACAAAAGCGTCAGCACGACAAAAGCTGGCAATGGAGCTGAAACGCAGAATGCATTGCTTGTTCTATGACCCTCAAGGGGTTGCATCAAAGAAAGTCAAGAAGGAGGACAAGCAAGATGAGCAAGATGCCTTGGATCATGCGGCGCAGGAGTTCGAGAACAAGAAGCGCATTGAGGAGGGCATCTACACGATCAGAGACATGGACGAAGAGCAGCTGGAAGAGTGCAAACTGTGCTTGCTTCCTGGCTGTGGATTGGCAGCCGAAGAGGGCAAACGCTATTGCTCCAAACGGCACTTCCATGCTCACCAGCACAAAAAGACGAAGAAGGAGATCAACGAAGAAAACCCTGGAGGAGCCCTATGGGGAATCTCACTGGCGACACAGATCCTGCCAGCCGAGGGGTACAAGATCAACGACTTCATCGTCTATGGCAACTTCCTGGTCACCATCTACGGCAAGACCCTGGTCTATGGCTTGGTGGTGATCTCTGTCATCCTTGCCGTCTTCTTCATCGGCAAGTGTGCAGGACATCGTGAATGGCAACGACGCCATGCTCAGCTACCAGCTCAGCTACCAGCTCAGCTACCAGCTCAGCTACCAGAACAACAAACCGAAAATGATGATGGCAGTGGTTCGGAAGAATCCCTTTCCACCGAAGAACTTCGAAACCAAGGTTTCATGCCTGACCCAACACGCCGAACCGACGTGCAACGGATGACAGCAGCAGAGATCCGACACTGCATGCTGTATGGCCTGACGATCCTGAGCGATGAGGAGATCAACAGGAGGCGTGATGCCTTCCGAGAAAGTCTTCGGCCTTCAATCGAAGACTACCTGACCCAAGAGGAGATCAACCGCATCCAATGCGGGGGAAGTCCAACTGTGGAGATTCCACTTCACCCTGAGGAGTGGGATGGCATTGGCAGACAGCACCGTGATGCGCTGCTGCAGGCCAACGAAGATGCGCTGCTGCTGGGGATCCACTTCGAGGAGATGAACGGGCCAGCGGCGGCATTCGCAAGGCGCCTGAGAGCTGAACTTAACACAATACGTGTTGTAGGAGGCGATGTGGACATCCAAACAGTCTACAGAGCCTGAGTGAATTTTCTGTACAGTAAAGCGACATGACGGCCAATTTTTCTTTCCTTTCGGCCTGTGTCGATGTACGGTTCACACCATCTCATGTCATTTGCCTGCGTGTACAGGCTGGAATTCTTAGGCCTTCATGTGGCCGTGGCTACGGTGGCCCAATGTGCGCATAGGGCGCCCTTAGGCAACAGCAATGGCACCTGCGGTGATTCCGCTCTGAGGTGTTTGGAAAAGGAGATTGAGAAGCTGCCGCAGACTTTGGGGGCTGCGCAGTGGGTTTGGCCTTGGTTGATTGGATACTACATCCACCTGTTCTTCCTGGGCTAGATCGATACCCCATATTTTGTGGAATCAAGATTCATGGCAGCTGAGCTTCAGGCCTGGCACCGCCCTGAGACATGTGCCGAGGTGCTCTCTTGAGCTGAAGCATTGGACCTGGGTGACGTACAACTTGCGATTCCATTTTTTGAAGGTTTTGAACAGCTTTGAACTGCTTTGAACATGTTTTAAGGTGGTGGATTTGAATTCTTTTGAATTTTTGGCTCTCAAAAGTGTCGACGCCACGGGATCTCACGGGACGTCGAGGGTCAGAATCTGAAGCTCTAACAGACTCTAACATAGAACGAACCATCTGAAGATGTCGATGTTTTCTGTCATTTTCTATTGTAAACCAGAAGGTATACGTGACCAAATGCGAGGTTCACACGTCACGAAGAAGTTTTCTCTTCCCAACAGCGTCACTTGATGCGGAGGTTCCGGTGTGGTGGTTCTGGGGGTTCCGATGGTGTGCGTCTAGTTCATGAACTTTTCATGCATGTTCCAGGGTAGTTCCGGGTGGTTCCGAGTGGTTCTGGGTGGTGCCGGGTGGTTCCGAGTGGTTTCGTACTATTTGTGTTGAATCACATAGTTTTTCCTGCTTCAGTTTCTTGGCGTCACTTCCCAAATTTCGTTCCTTGCCTACTTGGCGTTAAAAGTTAGTCAGGACGGAGAACATGTTGAACACAGTTGTCCAACACAGCATAGTTGGTCAGCACGCATTCCAGGTGCAGGTCGATCCTTTGGAAAAGTCCGGGCCTGAGGCAGTGTGGACCTTTTCAGGATTTTATCTCTCGCCCAAGCGATCGATTCGAAGTGGAGAGGTGTTTTTCCTGAGATGATCCATATGCGTTGGAAAGCTGGCACTGGTTGCTTGTGGAACGCCATTGGCTCGAGACATCCTGACCAAACACCAAGTCGATTCGACGAACTCGTGATTTCAAACATCTGGCCATGTCGGCCATGTCGGCCATCGTTCCACTGTCGCTCTTCTTGGTGAGTGTGAGCCCCATCGCAGCTGAACTCGAGCCCGAGGATGGCTGCTTGTTGCAGAAAACCAACGAGCGACAGCTTTTGACCAAGGAGGAGCAAGGTCCTGTTGCTGGCTATAGACTCCTGTGCGGACCCAAATGCAGATGTCAAGGTGCTCCTAATGCTATAGGACCCACCAATGCTGTTGAATGTGCAGCCGCTTGTCCAACCTCATCAGCCACACCATGGCTTGGATTTATTTTCAATCCAACCGGTCCTGGGAGTCCTGCATGCCGTTGCTGCGACAACCTCAATATAGGCACTGTCCAGAAAGATTTCTATTTATACGCATTCACCGGGGAAGTGGTCGGGGACCCACACATCACTACTTTGGATGGCAAACATTACACTCTTCTCAGCCAGGGTACCTTTTCCCTGTGGCATTTCTCAGGCCTGGAGACGGAGTTGCATTCAGAAGAAGTTACAGTTGGAACCAAGAAACTCCCAATCGATTGGCAAGTGTACGTGCACTATTCGGGCCACCAATCCTTCACGAAGGGCTTGCTTCTGATCGACAAGTCAGGAGGATCCATCCGACAAGTGCTTGAGATCACTTCGCAGGACTGCAGGTGGAAAGCACGGAAAGGAAACGGAGACTGGAGAGTGGTCGACAATGCAGAGCTCATCTCCATCCCAGATGGTAAGGACTACGTGACAGGCTTCGACCTCGGCACCGTGGGTCCTCGCGGTCATGGTGGCCATGGCTTTCCCAACCGTGTACGCTTCAACATGAACACGAAGAATGGCAAGTCGGACATAGCAGTCATGAGTCTCAGTTGCAGACCAAGCCACAACATGAATCTCCAAATCTCAATGAAACGCCAGAGCGACCAGCAGTTTGTGGATGGCGAGTTGAAGGTCGCACGCAAGTCGCTGTCTACGCTGCAGACCTCCACCGACTTTGAATTCAGCGTGGATAGCAAGTGGCAAAAGCTCGGTGGAAGTGAACAAGCAGCCTCGTACTTTCAGCTCGTTGACACAAATCAAACATCTGTTGCCTTGTTCCAATCGCAAGGCTGCAGTGATGCTGAAAAAGGTTTGGCGGCAGAGGCTTGTTCCAAGCACTTGGGAGAGGCGCATGGCACGCATTTCTTTGAAGATTGCGTTTATGATGTTTGCCATGGCGCTGGCGAGACGCAAGCAGAACTTGCTGCAGAGCTTCTCGCTGTGACCAAAGCTGATTATTAGGATGAATACTGGGACGTGCGGATTGACCATATGATTTACTCGCACGTGTCAGGGGCAGTTCTTTCCCTTCAGCACCTTCCCATAAGCGGTCGGTTTGGATGATTGCCCTCGGTGAAAAAGAGCTTGTTTCTCAACAGATGTGGTGAGACACAAGATGAACTGTGCACTTCTGAAGTCTGTGCAAATTCCAAGTTCCAAGTATTGTCCCACTTTGGGGTGCCATTTTTCACGTATGGCCTGGTATGCAGCAACCTCTGACACCATGCCCCACCTTGAGGTGGACTCCGCAGTAAATCAGCAAGAGGACTGACATGTCATGTTGGTATGCCCTACCTGCAGATATCTACAGTGATCCGTTTTCTTTTTTCGTGGTTGCAACGGTTGCAACGGTTGCAACGGTTGCAACGTGTCCTGGCGATGTTTGGTCGCCCCAATCCCAGTGTAATATGGCTTTGTCTGAAAATAGGGCATGCCCAAACCCCGTGGTTCATCATTTTCCAAAAATGCCAATTGGGGGTGTAGCTCATTTTCAGACGTACACGCGCACACATTTTTTTAGTGTATCAATATGGGATTTATGGGGAAGCAGGAGCATCAAAAGCAGCCTTGCAAACGGCCATTGATTCTAAGTGATGCTTAAGAACCGTGGACTTCCGGGGCCACGATGGCAGGAACAGTGCGGTCCATTTTCCCAGCTCTGCAGCAGTGGCTTGATGGATCCAGAAACAGGGGCACAAGATCAGTGATTCTTCATTTGGCAGAAATTTAAAGCATTCTTAATTGGATTTGGATGGATTTGGATGTTGGCTTTGGGCCTACAAAGAGGGGGTATGATCATCCATTAAAACCATCCCTGAAGTGGTCGTCAATTTGGGAACCCGTGTGGATTATTTTGCTGGAAATAATCCAACAAATTGGAAACTTTGGGGGTCGACAATTTAGAGAAAATCCACACATGACAATCTCTGGTCCACAGCTTTTTTAGTTTTGGAACTATGCAAAATCGATTGGGCCCACCAAATCATCGTCCATTCAAGGTGCAAAATTGAGAATTTTGCGGACTTTTGGCCATGTCTGGCTGCATTTTAAGGATGAATTAGGTCAGAAAATTGGGCAATCTCCAATAGTTGATCATCACACAATAAAATGGCAGTTTTGGGGACCAAATTTGGTGCTTCCACAATGACTGGCCGGTTTTTCTTCAAGCTTGAGGCAGAGGTACAAGCTAAGGAGGAGATTGGGTTGAAATTTGGATCGGGGGTGCAGTAGGGGTTCTTCATGGGTATGACCATGGTAGTAACCCCCAACTTGATTATGTAACCACTTGTACTATAACTGGAAGTTTCTCCACATCATGCCTAGGAACACGATGCACCCAGCGACACGAGCCGGGGCCTGAGTCAAGTTTTCCGCTGTGGGATTGTGTGGTCCTGGTGTTCAGGGTTTGTTTTTACATTGACTAATAGAAAAACACCTTTCTTGCCAGCAAAACACATTTCAAATTGGATCTTCAACTCCTTGTTCTGTTTGTGCGACTTCTAGAGGCGACTTTGAAACCTCATACAACTTCTATCAGGAGGTCTCCCATGTAGAGAGGTCTTGTTCGTCATTTCGCCTCATGAGGGGCCATGAGGTTTTTCAAACAGCCGCCTAAAGAAGTTCTTTTGAGTATGGACCCATAGATCCATAGATCTCTTTGAAACCTTTGAGCGGCTTGCCCCCCGAAGAACGAAGGGATTGCGGTGGGTCAGGAACAGCTCTTGCAGAAGAAAACATATTTTGAGAGCCGCAAAGACATCAGGCCCTGCCGTATCCCAAGACTTTTTGAGACTTTATGACACTTTTTGAGTTCGGATGCAATTCGATGCCAAAAAGGAATCAAGTTCCAGTGACCCAAAATTGAAAGACGAGGAACGCCTTCATACTCTTGGGAGCTGCAACTATCTTCAACCCGACTTCCAAAACCCCAAGCAAGGGTTGGTCCGAGGTTCAACCAGCTGCACACAAGAGTCTTTGCCTTGGTGCAGGCATCCTTTGATTGTTTTGCTTTTCATCGTTTCGGAACAATCATTTGTGTACGAAACCCTTGGGCGGGCAGATGTTTGAAGGTTTTTGGCACTCGATTCAGTTTGTTTTTGAGTGCGAGTCTGTGCAAGCGGTGCAGTGTTGCTGAGAATTCCAAAGACCAAGCCTATGTCCTTCCAAATGTCCTCACTTTCGGACAAAAACTTATAGGATCATATAGGTCTGCCCTGGAGATTTTGCAGTTACTCCACATCCCGGAAGATTCTAAGACATCCTAAACTGTACTCTGGAGCAAGGCACACTCAGACAGGGCTTGGGGCTTTATGGGGATGGGGCTTGACCAGGACCGTTCACCAGGAGCAGCATTGGATCCACCAGGCTGAGGCGCTCTAAGGCACCTCAAGGATGTCGAGGTCGAGGGATGTCAGAATCTGAACCTCCAACACAGAACGAACCATCTGAAGATGTCGATGTTTTCTGTCATTTTCGATTGTAAACCAGAAGGCGTACCTACATAATAAGATAATAAGATAATAAGATAATAAGATAATAAAATAATAAGATAATAAGATAATAATATATCAAGATAATAAGATAATAAGATAATAAGGTAATAAGCTAATAAGATAAAACGATAATAAGATAATAAGATAATAAGATAATAAGATATATAGATAGATAGATAGATAGATAGATAGGTAGATAGGTAGATAGGTAGATAGGTAGATAGGTAAGATAGATAGATAGATAAGATAGATAAGATAGATAAGATAGATAAGATAGATATAGATAGATAGATAGATAGATAAGATAAGATAAGATAGATAGATAGATAGATTAGACAGATAGATAGATAGATAGGTAGATAGATAAATAGATAGATAGATAGATAGATAGGTAGGTAGATAGATAGATAGGTAGATAAGATAGATAGATAGATAGATAGATAGATAGATTGATGAGATAGGTAGATAGGTAGATAGGTAGATAGGTAGATAGGTAGATCGATTTGATCGATTTGATCGATTTGATCGGTTTGATCGATTTGATCGATTTGATCGATTTGATCGATTTGATCGATTTGATCGATTTGATCGATTTGATCGATTAGATCGATTAGATCGATTAGATGGACAAGATCGACAAGATCGACAAGATCGACAAGATCGACAAGATCGACAAGATCGACAAGATCGACAAGATCGACAAGATAGACAAGAGACAAGATAGACAAGATAGACAAGATAGACAAGATAGACAAGATAGACAAGATAGACAAGATAGACAAGATAGATAAGATAGATAAGATAGATAAGATAGATAAGATAGGTAAGATAGATCAGATAGATATGATAGATAAGATAGATAAGATAGATAAGATAGATAAGATAGATAAGATAGAATAGATAGAATAGATAGAATAGAATAGAATAGCTGGATAGATAGATTAGATTAGATTAGATTAGATTAGATAGATAGATAGATAGATTTATATACACACATATATCCATGCGGGCCGGCCCAGCCGGCCGGCCGGCAGACTAGGCCGAAGTTTTCCTAAGAACCAAGAAAAAACAACAGAACCAAACGAAAAAGCAAAGATTTAGCAACTAGTCCAAAAACAATAATTCGGGATTTGTTTCTTTGGGTGTGTGCGTGTGTGTTGTTGATTTCTTTTTCTTGTTCTTTTTGGTTTTTGCGCGGCATTCTTTGGTCCGGATACAAGGAGATATCCAATACCAATATTGACCACCAAAATCAATGGATGTATCTGGAACATGGCTTTTGCGTCGCCCACAACAGGCTTGTCTGGAAAGCAAACATCGGGCTCCAAGATTCCCAGCGGTCACAAACATAAGTTTCCCAAACACAACATTTACCAGATCACTTTTCTGAAACACAATTCCAAACACGTTGTGTCCAAGATGTCATCGAACAAGAAGTGCCGTCACAACATGTTCCACGCATTCGCAGAAAACATATCACCAAATGAAACAACAAAAGACAACACATTCCTTGAGAAGATTCCAAAGGAGCGGTTCCCATGCAGAAGGTTCCCAAACTGAAATTTGTGAATGAGATAGCGATAAAAGGTCCCGGCAAGCAGCCTGAAGAGAAGGTTTGAGAACCAAAGGCTGCCCAGGACAGGATGATTTGTTTCAAGGTTTCCGACTTTCCCAAGGCCATGTTCCCAGCATTAGGAACGTTGTGGTCTCTCAGGAACGAGATCTTCCCACTCCGATGCCGAGCAGAGGTTGGTGGATGGTTTTGGCATGCTTTTGGCACCAAACCTGGCAGAAACATGTTTTGTTTCTTGTGGCAAGGTTGAGCAAACCGTTTGGACATGTGGATAGCACGGTTGTCCCCGATGTGCAGCATTTGAACCATGCGGCGACATCTTGGGACATGTTTGCGGTCAGGCGCAGTGTCTTATTGCTTCGCACCTTGGAAAAATTAGATGTATTTCAGAATATTTAGTTGTTTTTTCTTAGTTTCGAGGATGCTTCACTGCAGGCCACTTGACAACTTGATGCTATTCGACCGAACCATGCAGTTGTTTTCCGTTGCTGCCTACCCAGCTAAGTACAAACAAATTGGTCCTAGTTGCAACTCTCACAAACCCATCGGGCAAGGGAAACATGTGAAATAGCAAGGCTTTGCGAGATCTTCAGCGCCAGTGTTGCTCTGGGATTTCCAGTTCCTTCGCCGAATTCATCTGAAAAGATGCTCTTATTGTTGTGGGGTGTCTAGCTTCCAGCCTTAGGTCCTACAACAGTCATTGGGAGCCCCTCTGGCGTTCACACCGAGCATCGCGGCGCTTTGGCAGCAAGTCTGGGGCGGAGACATAATATGTGGCATCCTGCGGCATCCTGCGGCATTGGCGTGTTGGTGTCCTCACGACACCATGAGGTGCTTGCGGCTGGCTTCGCTTATGTCAGTAGGAAATTGCCAGCCAGTGTCCCAGGCAGACGTGCAAAAGGCACCCGTGGTGAGTACAGAAAAACGTGAGCATGCAAAACCGGGTGAGGAGCAAAACCAGGTTGCAATCATTCAGAATTGCAAGGCGAAAGGCATTTGTTGGAAGGGTGATGAAGGGTGTTTGGCCTTCCTTCGATATACTGTTTGCTGTGATTGGGCATCCAAGGAGACGAAGAACCGAGAAGTGGAAGACATCTTGGCAGACTTCAATCAACGATGATGTGGAAAATGGCCTTGCAGACGCGAGCGCATGTTCTTTGTTAATATATTTGCTGATGAACCCAACCCGTTGGATCCGGCAGCGCGAGGTCCTATGATTTCCTATGTATTGTGTGTTGTTTTAAATTATATTCATTTATATTCTATCCCAGTGATCGGCCACATTGAAACACACGGATGTGTAGGGCCAAGTCCGGCTCAAGGGAAACCCAACGCCATTTTGGTGGAGTTGAATTCGAGTTTCCTGGCAGTCCGGAAGTGCAGGAACGAGATTAATCAACATGTTTTTGGGGGAATGCAATTCTAAAAAAAACTGATTTGGTTATATTTGGTTCATGTTGTATCATGCTGATTCTGTCTTTGTGTGGGGTGCCATGAAAGAAAAGCCCAAACAACCCCAGTGCGAGAGATCCCCCAAACTCAAATCTTCTGGGGGTGGGGGGATCAGAAAAATTACATGTTCATTATAACACCTAAAAATGTAAGACTTACATGTTTACATCCTATGTCAAACATGTATGGTTACATTTCGGACACCCGGCACAAACATTGAGAACATTTAAGTTACGTATAGCCGTATAGGGGTCCTCCCCTGCTAAAAGAGTGGGGATTGCGAAAACCAAGGTGCCATGCGAGCTCGGACTGGCAGCGGGGACCGGGAGCATCATGGCAGCCACGGCATCAAAGCCGCAGGCCGATTGCCGAAACGGGGTCGAAAGGGGATGAAAGGGTGAGAAGCAAAAAATGTTCGGCCTTAGAATTCAACTGGTGCATCTTCGAAATCGCTGTTGCTCTGACTGCCGCAGAACCAGACACAGTTGCCAGGCAAAAGAACTGAAGAAGCCTTGAAAGAGGCAAGCGCCAGACACAAGGGAAGCATATGGAAGCATGCCAATTAAGGAAATATGTGTCGCAAGTTTCCAATGTCTGCGCTGCCTGAAATGTCAGCCGCATTTCAGGTGGGTGAGTCTGTGAACGAAGTTTTCAAGGACATGAAGGAACAGTTTAGCAAATTCACCAGGCAAAAGCTGCGAAAGAAGTTGTCTCCGCTTGTTTTGCCGACCTTGCCTTTTGGATCTTTTGTTGACGTACAGTACACAAAGATTACTTTTCATTGACGATCATTCAATAATTCTGGAGCCGCCGAACAGGCCAAGCTGGTTTGGTGGCGCGGCAGCCCAAGACTGGGATTTTTTCCGGCTTGGTCCGACAGCCAACCCCAAGTCCCTGATTTTGATTCTATGGGTGCAAATCAGAAACAAGTAACCAGAAGACAGACATTGCCCTACCTCGAACTTGAGAAATTCTGCCATGCAAGGCGAAGCGCGCAAATTGTTTGCAAACGCATCGATGTAGTCCAGCAGTCTAGCGCAAATATGGAAAGGTATAGAGAAATTTGATGGCTTGGCCTTTGCAGTTAGGCTCCAGCCAGCAGATCCTATCTTAGTGATCCTGATGATTCATTGATGATCCTGATCAAATCCTAGTGCAAATCGATTCTCCCAGTTCTCTTGTTCCTGGCGCAAGGCTCCTCAAAGGAGACACCCGCTCAGCTAGCCAAGCCCGTAGCCGGAGGGCAGGAGCTTTATGTTGGCACTTGTTTGGGATGGGAACAGGGTTGTCATGGGAAGCGGCACGGCAAAGTTTAACCAACCGGGAATTCTTGGAGAGAAGGCAAACTAGGCAAACACAAAATAACACAAACACATACAAACACCAAGTGTGGAATTTTGCGGCAGGAAGCGCATGCTCATAATGCTCATGCCCATGACCCGCATCCGGAAGATGACACGACGATGCGGCCAGGGCTCTTTGTGGGAGCTTTGCTTCTCCAAAGACTATACAATGATGCCAAAGTATGGTAAGCCTGGTAAGCCCAAGGTAGATTCTTTAGACTTTCAAGCGGCTTCTCCTATTAGATATTTCATTGCAGCAACTAAATATGAGATTCATAGAGGTCGAATAGCAAGACAGCATTGACAAAGACACAGACTGGTATTGGCCATGCGCTCGGCCGCTGTATGTCAATTGTATGCGTCTCGTTTCAAGTTGACAGACGTTGACAGAGTCAAAGGCACCATTGTGCTGCCTTGGAACGTTTGGTGGAGATGGGCCTTTCCCCGCAGGCATGCGATGGCAGCGATTTTCATGTTTTTTTGGAAGGGGACGATGTGCCGCAGCAACTTGCCATTCGTGCAAAATTCATCATGATCAGGTTAGTTTCATGACTAAACCAAGCTGGCTTTTAATATTTCATCTATTGATATTGTTTTTTATTTAAGATTATTCCATCTCCTTGTTGCAAGCACTTTGGCAGTATCACCTGGGCAGCCGCAGACAGCAACGAGTAGACATTTGGAGTTGCTCCCTTTCTAGAGGTACTACTTGGTGAGCAACAATCTCCGGATTTTGTTGCAGTGAATTCAAAAGTTGTATCGCTGTGTCGTGTTACATTCCAACAGTGCGCTTCTCCGCCCTACTTGCAGGCTGCCAAAGTGGCAGTTCGCCGATTGGACAGTTGGCTTGTCAGCGAGGTCCGCGTCTAACTTGGGAAGTCACGCGTGTGGTCATCACTCTGCGGTCACGGAAGCCGTGGGTGTGCAACGATGCAACTTTTTTTTTTCCATCTCTTTCCTCTATGTTTGATATGTCCAATTTGTCCAATGTTTATTTTTCAGGCTCACCAAATGGTTCACATGTTCACGCTTGCTGCATCCCTGTTGCATCTTGCTGCGGGTAGGATGGTCGTGCCGAGATGGCCGCAGCAGAAGCAGAGGCCTTTAGTGCGGGCGAGCCCATCTTACATGTCTGGGTCCAAGCTCCCACTGACAGCAGCAGATGAGATATGGTCAAAATAAGTGTAGCCTACTTTGGTAATACGCGAGGGCGCAGTTGTGTTGAGAAAGTGCACCAACCCATGTAAATCCATAGGGCCCCCAAAAAAACGATAACCTGTAACCACATATAAGAATGCATTAAACTTGGTGTAACCCAAGCAAATATTGCTGTGTACCTTCAGCGATGGTCAAAATTGATGAAGAAAATTCAACCTGAAGTTCCTGTGTTTCTTGCAGTTGCCATATCATGTGTTCAAGGTATTCCACGTTCCTCTTTCTTTTCCTTTCTTGATCATCCAGGTGTCCTAAATTAGCGATAATCTAGTGATAACCTTTTGTTGAAAAAGGGACCCCGGACGAGGGATAGACTCATTTGATCCCATTGGCATTTGTTCCAAAATGCCAGACAAGCAGCAAGAGCAGGAAATTAAAGATTCCCACAAAAAACAAGAAAAACTAGTTTTGGAAATCTTTGCTGAAAAGCAATTCCCCCGCATTTTTGAAAACGGAGTATGCCGTATAGCCCAAGATTATGGTTGCTGATGGTTTGTTCAATTTAAATAGCTGCGCAATGGGGTATCGTCCCGTGTTTGAGGAACCATACAACCGAGGTTTATGCCCTGTACAGCTCAGGTACAACAATGCGTATTAAGAATGTATCAACTGGGGTGCCGTATCCAACTAGCATGCAGAGTCCTTTGCATCCGTTTGCATCCAAGGTCCACGACCAGGTGCGACTTGAAGGTCTCATCAAAAACAAAGGCCTGGGTGGTGCATGCTGAGCACGGTCAATGCCAACGGGTTGGCAATAGATGAAATTGGTTGGCAATGGTTTTGTCCATTTTTATTTGGCATCTAAACCATTGCGGGTATGCAGCGCACGCAACACTGGACCAGAGCTCCTCCTGCAATGTCCCAGAGCTGTTTGTGGCTTTCATGCTGCACGTCGCAGGCACAAACGGCGCGTGAGGCTCTCAAAGCGTTGCCCAACATTGAGAAGCGATGTGGCATAATATGGCTATGGTGAATGTAGGTAAGGCATGTAAGGGTTAACCTTTTTTCTGGGCTCTGCTAGTCAGGCAAATGGTTGGCTGTTTGCTGCCAAGGTTGGGCATTCTACAGGCCTATGGCGCAGAAAGCCATCGCTGGAAGGTTACTCTTCACGATGGCCAGGCAGAGAATGGACAAAAGCTGTGCTGCCCTGCTGTGACTCCGCAGTGTTTGGTGCAGGTTGCACACCTCAAATCAAAACTCTTCAAGTTACATGTGTCATACTGGTATGTATCGTTCCTCCACTCCTCCTTCTGTAGATTGCTCTTTTGACACTTCCCCGCATTTGCTAAATTTACCTACTGCACGTATCAGATTTGTTTATTATTGATTAGAAATAAGAAATGAGAATGCAGAAGTGCTTCTGTCAGGTCTTTTGGATAAAGCCGAAGCTTCTGCGACCTTTGCAGCTTCGACGTGGCCCCTGCCGTTGTAGCATGTTGTAGCCACATGCCACATGCCACAGCTGTCCGCTGAGAGATTTTATTGGGCCAGGCATGCCATTGCCAGATCCATCGCCTCCTGAAGATACCACTCACACAGAGGAGGCACAGCCACGGCATGCCACGGCTGTGGTGGGCTGATGATGCTGATGGGCCAATAGCAACCTATTTAACTAATTTTTAACTTATTTAACCGTTTAACCTATACCAAAGATTACCAACGTAGAAAAGCTAAAGCGAGCAAGTTGGCAAAGACAACGATTCCAACTCGGTATGTTACACATGTCAATCTGACCGGCCCATGTTTTGAAGCGTGATGGTACTGGCACAGATAGATCATAATGGGCTACATGCACCTGGGCACATATTGACACATACTTTTACTTGGCACATGTTCTGGCAGAATTATTCTGCCCCATGTTGCCCGCAGCTTTCATGTACTATTATCAGGTACTCTCAAACAGAGAGATTGGCGAAAGCAGGAAGCAGCGCACATAGCCTTATTGCCCGGTATCGCATTCCATGTAAGCACACTATTCGAGGACAAGCTTGTCGAACAAGTGTGCAGCACCTGGCACGAGCGGCATGACTTGGTGAGCAGATACCATCAGAATCATCAGATACCTGTATGCCAAATTATGCCAATGGATTCGTGAATGGACCTGTGTTGACTCCGATTGCAGCCATCGAGACCCCATGTACTTCCCTATGCGTCCAATGCGTCCTGTTCTCCAGCCAGTGGCGCCGGTCAAAGTAACTGCAAGTGCCATTGACAGCAATTAGATGCAGCTGTTACTTGCTGATTTTGGAACTTGTTGGTTACAGAATGTTACAGACATTGCAGACCGCATTGGACACGGGATGACACGGGGTATGAAGTAAGCTCCTGGATCCCTTGCCCCTCGTTTCCAAGGGATGGAGATCGATGGTGAAATTCATGAGGTTCGCTATGGGCCAGGAGAGGCTACTGCCGTTAGTATCACCATTCGCCCCATTTGAAAGCATGCCTTGAATATCCGCGGCTATCACAACGATCATGTGATGTCATGTGTCACATGCCTTGCTCTTACATATCTCTTACATCTTGTTTGCCTGACAGGAGAGGACTTTGAATCCCCAAGTGATTTCTTCCCACCTTGCAAGGCCACGCTGAGACTTCCGTGCCTTGCCAAAGCAATCTGGCCTCGAAAATCACAAGCTTCATCAAGTTTCATATTTCGGCATGGAACAAGCCAACCAATTGAAACTTGTTTCGTCATGTCTCATCCTGTTTTTGTTTGAGCGGTTTGACTGTCCGCTAGGTGCCAAGCCATGTTGAATCTCGTACAGTCTTCAGGGCTCCTGGAAGAGTTGCCATTGGATGCCACAAAGACTCTTCATGTGGCACTGCCGTTTTGTGGCAGTATGTCCTTGAGCAGCATTGATCACAACTCAAACTGTTGCAGCTGAAACATTCAGTTCATTTCAGTCTAGCATTGTAGTGCTCACACAATTCCCCCCTCAGACTCGGTTCAAGTGCCAGGCATACCAGATCACACCAGTCTGATTATCACAATGTGAATTCAACACACGTTCCACGCCGCACAGGCAAGAGCTACTTGTGCTTACGGATTTCTTCTCCAGACAAGTCTTAGGACTGCTGTGTAGGTGTTCGTCCTGGCCTGTTTTGGTGGATGAGAACATGTGTTTGATGATGTTTGATGTGTTTGTGTTGGATGCGGTTGAAGGTTTTTGAGCGCTCTTTTCAGCGTCCTTTGATGAGTTTTACTATGTCTGGTGGAAGTGCGTGCGTTGTGACAGGGCAATGATATGCAATGATACCATATGATACCATGATATCGGAAATCCGATTTGGATATCTTTGGATAATCCAAAAAAATCTACAGCGCCTCGATGCCTTGAGGACACCGCGTCAACAAGATCGCGATCTTGGGTTCCGATTTGTATGACTGGAATTTGAAAGGTGGCTACTGGAAACAGACGCTGGTGCTCACAAGTCAACAATTTCAAAGGCAGCACACTCTTCATATCTATTAATCTTACATCTTTGTGCATGTCTTTGTGGTTGACTATGTTGTTTTGGCCCGACGTTTTCTCAAAGCGTATCCTTTCCTTTCCAAGTCTTTGGACCTGAGGAAGGAATTGCACATCCGCAGGCGACAGCCTGGTATCGATGTGAGATTTTGTCAGTTGGACTTGGCAACGTTTCAACATCCTCCTGCTTCTTTGATGTTTGCCATTCACCCAGAGTGCACAGTTCAAGTTGATCTGTGGAGGAAGCTTGGCTGATGTGAGAGTATAACTACACGCAAACTCAGCAGGCCTAGCGGCCTAGCACACCTCACCTGAATGCAGAGAGAAACCTCCTCGGTCCGACATTCTCAGTTGCAAACTGTTTTCGGTCGGGTTAAGTGTCAATATGTGTCAATGTTGCTGACATGTCCGCCTCAATGTCGCAGAGCTTTCAGGAAGATTCTGTCCAACATCATCTCCGCATGCGTAGGCCTTTGCGTTGTTGTAACCTTTTCCGAAGATGAGGCGAAGGCCGGATGTGCTCCCACGCGTATCTGTGAAATACCATGTCTTATCATGTCTTGGAGAATTCTGCAGCTACAATGTGAGACGTGAGACGTGCTGCGTTGTTTTGCAGGTGGTTTCTGGCGTTGGCCAAGCTCTCCACCGGCGCTGTCAAGTGCATCAAAACCCATACTACCAGAACTCCACGAACAGCACTTTGACACACAAATGCCAGGAATTGCGAGAAAAAAATGATGCATTTTGGTACAAAAGTTTTGAAGATATTTGAAGATTGATAAAGGCATCCTATGGCATCAAAATGATACGTGATTTTTGTTTGTTTCGTTTGCTTTGTTTCACGGGCCCAGGTTCTGCAGGGTCTGCAGGTTCTGCAGGCCCTGCAGGTGCACCACTTCCTCCTTTCATGAAGTTCATCGTCCTGCTGAGCACACAGACGCCTCCAGGCGGATGAAAACAACACAGGATGCCTCAGGATGCTTCAGGATGCCTCAGGATGCCTCAGGATGCCCGAGTTCGAGAAAACGCAGCCGAAACAGTGGAGAGATGACGAAGGCTGCGGCACGTCAAAAAGTGGCTAAGCTCCTGCTAACGTGATGACAAGGCATGGGGTGAGTGATACATTGCGTCATACTACGTCCAATCCCCAGAAGATTCACGTCCAAGATCCAGCACTGAGCGGTCAGAGCAATGCCTTGGGATTGCAGTGACAGGCTATAAGGGCATGCGTCAGAACTAAAGCCTTTTCAACTTGGCAAACCCGTCTTCACGGAGCGACAAAAACACAACGGATTCGTGATATCGTTTGATTCTCATTTCAAAAGGTTGAACGGTTGAACACACAAATACGGTAAATTAGTTGTTATTCATTCTATGTTCGTCCAACTTGTCAGCTGACTGAAGAGTTACCTTTTCATTTTTTCGACGTCTTCGTCAGCTCACTGTCATTGTATGATATTGTATGGCTTTCTAAGCACGGGCCTTGCAATGAGAATTTGGATGGCCGGCGCTGTGGACAGCCTGTGTGGCTCACTTGGGCGCGGCAATGCGTGTAGCTTGGCTTTGACGATGTCAGCGGACTGAGTACCATCCAGCGCGTTTACATACGGATCCACCTGGATTTGCAGCATGGCAAGGTATGGCAAGGGGTTGATTTTTTGTCGCACTAAGGTTCTCCTCTGGCAGCTGTGGTGGCTCATCTGGATTAAGTACGACTAAACAGATCAGGTGATATCCTATATTATATTGCATCATTGCATATCGTCGCTGAACATTGTTGCTGTGCGGTGTGTCATTTCTTGTGAGGATAGTGCGGATCTTCCTGGTTCGCGAGGCTTACCCTGAGGCAGGAGTTGGGAATAGGGTCAGAGCTGAAATGATGGTTGGTAGTGTTGCCGGCCTGCGCCAGGTTGTAGGGCAATCTGAAGAGGGCTCAGTTCAATCAATTTTCTGACATGCCTGATTCCTGACAAAACCCCGACACGAGAATGAAAAACTTGAAGCGATGAAGGATGTCCCGGTTTTGGCAATGATCAGGCATACATACAGTGGTTCATTTAAGCGATTTAAGCGTTGGTTCATCAGATTTTCAAGAAGCTCTGGCTAGAAGATTGTTGTTCCTGGGATCCTGGGTGGTGAGTCATGTGGAAGGCAGCGGAGAAGTGTCACACTCAGGAGAGCAGGTTCAGGCCCAAGACGCGCTGAGAGAGTCGCAAAAATCAAGAGGGCTCTATGCCAACTGCCAAGGGAGGCGAAATCACAAAAGAGATTTCTAAGAGATAGCAAAACAAATCACATCAGAATCATCAAATCACAACATGGAGAGATCTAAGTGGGAGCAAAATAAATCCCCAGACAAAATCCCAACTGACAAAACGATACAAAATCGACTTCAAACGCTTGTACAAAAGGATATAAGTTGTATATAAAACGAGACAAAAACGGTTAAAGGATATAAAGGGAATTAAAAGGATATAAAAAGATGATAAGACGATAGAATTTGCGTCGCTTCTTTCGATAGTTTTTCGCTTCGTGAAGGTGCCCTGGCCGTGTCATCGTCGTGGGCGCTGGCCTGGCTGGGCTGGCAGCAGCTCAAAGCTTGCGACGTGCTCAGTGACGCTTGGCAGACTTGACGCATGACACGCTACGATGACGGCAGTGAAAGATCGTTAAATCATCTTAAATATGTTTAAATCACATCTTAAATCATCTCACATCTTAACACGATGTCATACATGTCATGGTGTCACGTGATCTTTACGAAATGTTCACAGGTGAAAGTTCATGATCCAGATGTCTTGACTGGTTCTGCTTCCAGGCTTCCAAGAAAAACAGAAAATACCCAGTCGAAGAAGTGCCCCCTTCCAACATCTTCCAACATCTTCCAACAGCGTTTGGGCGCCTGGTCCTTGGAGCTTGGGGGAGAAGTTTCGGAAGTTTGCAGGTGATGTGCTGGTACTGGAAGCGCATCAGCACGTGGGTGGCCGGGCGGCTCCCATTCCTCATGGCCCATTCCAAGGCTTACAGCAAGGTGAGGGACCCGAAAAATCCGAAAACATTATGGGAAGATATGGGAAGGTTGGTTGGATCATGTATGCTGGGCGAAGAGGCTGCTTGGTAGTTGCTTACACTGTTTTCTAAACGTGTTTTAGATTGTTTTAGCGTTTTACTATTTCTACCTGGCATCGATGAAATTCAAGAGATTCCATATGATTCCATGATATTCCATGCAAACAAAGCTTGTATCGTTCTGCGCATAGAGTCCAGGAGCTCAATGGATCCATGGCGGCGCGGCTTGTCTCAGTATGTCTCAGCATGTCGCAGTTTCAGGGGGATTTCACTCAGCGGAGCATGCAGGGCTCAGTCACTCGATTACCCAGTCAACAGCTCTGTCGCCTGGACCTGAGGAACAGAATCTGGTGATGATGGCCTTACTTCGATTTTACAACATTTCTACTGTCCGGGTTGGTGGCAACAGCGAGTTCGAAGGCACACTTGAAGCTGGACCTGTTGATTTTCAGCAACCCATTGAGAGGCGCTGGCTTTGCTTTGACTCTGCTTTGTAGAGTCCAATGCCCTCGATTGCGCCAGTGTTTGCATGCTGCTTAGGTGATGATGACAAACACCATCTCCACAAGGATGGGATCAATGGAGCCTTGAAAACCAAGGCGAATGCGGGATCTTTGAAATGTCTTCAGCCAGATCTGCGAGGGGTTGATGTTTGCTATTGTTTGCTTGAGGCATGCCATGGCATGCCCTTGCTTTTCGAGGCCTTCAGAAGCTTTGAAGAAGCCAAAGTGCTCTTTCAAGACAAAGCTGCACGGATAGTGGGGCGTACCTCAAGGGACGCCTCAGTAAGACTCTTGGGACAACTCTTGGGACAGAATCGGGGCGCCGAAGTTTGATACCATGAACGGCCGTGCTCGGCCACGGGAGACCACATGAGGCCACCATAGGCCAAGATTTGCTAAATCTCTTCCAAGATCTTCCAAGATTTTCCGTGTAGCCACTGTAGCTCTTCTGAGGAGATGGTTGGGCATCGATTTTAGCACCACGACCTCGTTGGGAAGTTGTCACTTGCCAGCGCTTGGCAAAGTCACTTTCATCTCGCTTTCTTTTGGGTGGAATGACCCCAGTCCGAGAAGGAGGTTTTCTTGAGCTAGTAGATTTTCTTGTTGCCTGGAGGTGGAAATTGTGAAAATAGATTTTCGTCATACATGTGATTTCGTATCATTGCGGGGGCGGCACTAAGCCACAGGAACTCTTAGAATGGCAACTCCGAGTCCGCTCCGAGCAGAGTTGGGCAGTGGGTCCTGAGCGTGCTGGGCTGCGCCTTGCAGAAATGGCAACCTATAGAGCCTCGGCAAAGTGCTAAGTCTTTTGATGGTTTTGTGTATGCTTTTGCTATTCACGAAAGCCAGTGTCTGCTAGCTGAAGTCCCTCTTGCTTTAGCAAGGTATTGGGGGGGCTGCAACCTCCAATCGCGTGAAACTTCTTAGTTAACTTCACAAGCAGTTTGGCCGCGGGCTGCAACATCAACATCCTCTGCACTCCCCACTCTACACTTTGCACTCCACACTCTGCACTCTTAACTTCTTAACTCATTGTGCTCCACACTTTATACCCCACAATCCACACTCTACACTCCGCACGCTACACTTTAGACTTTACACTCCACACTCTACACTTTACATGTTACACTTCATGCTTTACACTTGACACTCCGCACTCTACACTTTACACTCCACACTCTAATGTAGACTCTAGACTTTAGAGTTTGCACATTGCACTTTGCACTTTACACTCCACACACTACACTCCACGCTTTGCACTTTACACTTTACATTTGACACCCCACGCTCTACATTTTACACTTTACATTGTACACTCCACACTCTACACTCTACGCATTACACTTGACACTTGACACTGGCCACTCTACACTTTACACGCCACACTCTACACTCCACACTTCATGCATTACACTTTACACCACGCACTCCACACTACACTTTACACTCCGCACTTTACACTTTACGCTCCACACTTTGCACTTGACACTCCACACTTTACACTTTACACTCCACACTCTGCGCTCTATACTTTACGCTTTACATTTTACACTTCACACTTTACTCCTAACACTCCGCACTCTACGCTTTACTCTTTACAGTTTACACCCGACACTCTACACTTTGCACTCGAAACTCTACACTCTACACATCACACTCCACACATGACACTGCGCACTCTATATACACTTTACACTCCCCGCACTACACTTCACACTTGACACTTGACACTCCACACTTTGCACTTCAGACTCCACACTCTACACTTTATTACACTTTACACTTTGCAGTCCACACACTCTACACTTCACACTTAACACTTGACACTCCACACTCTGCACTTCACACTCCACACTCTACACTTTAAACTTCACACTTTGCAGTCCACACACTCTACGCTTCACACTTGACACTCCACATTCTGCACTTCACATTCCACACAATCTGAACTTTACACTTGACACTCTACACTACATTTTGCACTCCACACTCTACACTTTACACTCACACTCTACACTCTACACTTGACACCCCACACCACACGCTCTACACTACGCTTTACACTCCACACCTTTGACTTTAAACATTGTATGTTGTATGTTCCACACACTACACCTTACAGTCTACACACTCTACACTTTACACTTTCACACTTTACACCTTACACTTCACTTTTCGCACTTTACACTCCATATTTACACGTTGCACTCTACACTTTGCACTGCGCACTCTACACTTCACACTCCACACACTACACTTTGCGCTTCCCGCATTACATTTTACACTACGCACTCCACACTCTACGCACTACACTCCACACTCTACACTTTACCCTCCACACTTTACACTTGGCACTCCACACTCCACACTCTAGACTCTATACTTCACACGTTACATTTTACACTTCACACTTTAAACTTGACACACTGCATTCATCTGCATTCTACACTTTACTCTCTACGCTTTACACCCCACACTCTACACTTCACTCTCCACACTCTGAACTTTACATTTGACACTCTACATTACATTTTTCACTCCACACTCCACACTCTACACTTTACACTCCACACTCTCCACTTGACACCCCACACTCTACCCTCTACACTTTACACTCCACACTCTACACTTTACACTTTGCACTGTACACTTTACACTGTACGCTCCACACTCTGCACTTTACAATCTCCACTCTACACTTTACACTCCAAACTCTACACTGCATTCTACACATTATAATCTACACTTGACACTGCGCTTTACACTCCACACTCTACACCTTACACACCACTTTACACCCTCACAACTTTACACTTTTCCCACTTTACCCTGTATGGAACCTTGGCATAGCTTCATTTTCATGTTGCGCACGCACGCCTACCTCTCGTCCACTACTTCAGCTTTGCACTACGTTACTTCTTCCTGCGCTTCCAAAGGTCCACTCCGATGCCGAAGGTGGACCTTTGAATCTTCCCCAATCACTAGTCATCATGTTGGCTATGCTGAATTTCCTTGTTCTCTTCGTGCAACAGTACATCATAATCATATTCTCATCCTCGCCCCCTCCAACATACATCGCCTCAATACGTAGGTTTGGATGTTCACCTTAACCAGCATGCCCCAGCTTCAGACCCGCTCGTCCACGTTGACGAAAAAGCTGCACAGCTGCGCTGTGCCCTTTGTGTTTTCGTGCCAAGCTCCCTGCCAAGCTAGCTTTCGTCCCTTACCTCTGGGCCTCAAGTTTGTGGAAGTTGCCGGCCACTATTCCATGTCCATAGCATGTCTTTCTTACAGAAGTCACTTCAGCCATGCGTGTTGCACTCTCGGGATCTCTTGCGCCGTGTTATGCGGGGCATAGCCAGCCTGTTCTCATTTGTCGGTTTTGTTTGTAGCTTCCCCAAGACCCAAAGATGGCCATCCAGTTAAGCCACAGTATGATTCACAGTTTGGTTCACAGCATGTGTCAGTTATTGTGATTTGTGTGTTTGCGGCTTGCGTTGTTTGTGCCTTAGATGAATTTGACGCCGCGGCAACTCGACTGCATTGGATATATTTGGACGAAAACTGGGCTTCAATTCGGCTCCCTTTGTTGGAGAAAAACCTAAAACCACCAAAGCACTTCATGAAAGATGAATGAAAAAATGAGAGTCATAAGCGTGTCGTTGCCTTTCGTTGCTTCCACTGTTGTACAAATGGTAGCTGCTTTGATCATCACAGGTGCCGGCTGATGGAGGCGATCTCCAGCTCGCGTGACTTGCCTGACTGCTTGAGGAACAGTCAGAAAAGTTCCGAAGTGTTTCTTAAAGTTTCTTACGTGCTCTTACATAATTGATTTGGGTTTGCTGCTACTGACATTTACTGACCTGCTATATCCTGTGATGATGGGATGATGATTCTATATTATAGAATGGGCTAGCGCCCGGGTGCCGCCGACCCCCCGATGGGTGGTTTTAGAGGTGTGGAGGGCTTGGAGCGTTTGGAGCCCATAGACGCTTTTGCAGAGTTTTGAGGGTTTCAAGGGTTTTGACGTTTTGGGGGTTTGGAGGGTTTGGAGCGTTTGGAGCGTTTTAAGGGTTTAGGGGCTGGCAAGCGGCAAGCTTGGACGCCCAGAAGAAGCCATGGATGTGGCCTTGGAAGAAGCGATGGATCTGGCCGTGGGGTCGCTGTGGCCTGCGTTGGAGGCAGGCCTTTGGACGCCTGTTGGCTGAAGGTTGCAACGGTTTTGACGTTTTGGGGGCTTGGAGGGTTTGGAGCGTTTGGAGGGTTTGGAGCATTTGGAGCGTTTTAAGGGTTTAGGGGCTGGCAAACGGCAAGCTTGGACGCCCATAAGAAGCCATGGATGTGGCCTTGGGACGCCTGTTGGCTGCGAAGGCCTGGCGAACGGCACGCTGGACCGCCCAGAAGAAGCGATGGATCTGGCCTTGGGGTCGCTGTTGCCTGCGCTGGAAGGAGGCCTTGGGACGTCTGTTGGCTGCGAAGGCCTGGCGAACGGCACTCGGGACCGCCCTGAAGAAGCGATGGATCGGGCCTTGGGGTCGCTTTTGCCTGCGCTGGACGCCCATAAGAAGCCATCGATGGTTTTAGGGGTTTGAGGGTGTGGAGGGTTTGGACGTGTGGAGCGTTTGGATGGTTTTAAGGGTTTAGGGGCTGGCAAACGGCAAGCTTGGACGCCCATACGATGGTTTTAGGGGTTTGAGGGTTGTGGAGGGTTTGGAGCGTGTGGAGCGTTTGGATGGTTTTAAGGGTTTAGGGGCTGGCAAACGGCAAGCTTGGACGCCCATAAGAAGCCATTGATGTGGCCTTGGGATGCCTGTTGCTAAGAAAGACAAGTTCCACACCTGCGGTGGTCCCAGGCGCCGCCCCTGCCTTGGCCAAGGCCGGGGTCGGCGGATTCTATGCTAGTGCTATTCCGCTATTCCCACAAAGTCCTCACTTCAACAACATTTCCATAGGTCATGCCATACAATAACCGCACGTGGCGGGCCACCAACTAAACGGCCATTTTCCGGATAATCTTGGAACATAGATTTTGACAATCTGCCATGCGATGTGACGTCTCTAAACGCACAGGACATAATGCGCTGCAATGCTCTATGTGTGTGTGTGCGCGCTGTGTGTGACAGTGCTTGTCACGGCAAAGGTCTGGTGGCTTTAGCATCTCAGCTGAACCTTGTTGAATTTGATGCTGATGCCACAGTCAAAGCATAAGATTGTCTGTCGGGGGGCATTTATAGACACTTTGAGGAAATCAGGTCAGTCTAAGCCATGGAAATCCATGGAGCCCGATGGGACGGGCTCATTGGACAGGTAGGCTCTTGGAGAAAATGTCCGAGGGTCTCGACATTCGTCTGGGTGAGGAGGCGGCATATGGCGGCATGCCGGCTTACATCGATTTACCACAGCATGCCATATAGCGCATAGCCCACTTGGGCCACTCGGGCATCCCCGAGCCATTCATTGCCTGTCACTGATCTCATGTCATTACCTTCTTGTCGCCATCGGCAAGTGGCAGCCGGCCATGCTTGCGGGCAGGTCAAATCAATCCACGTTGATGAGACAGAGGTGTTCGCGCAAACTGCGAATCAGACAGTGCACAAAGGCCAGTGCCCTAGACATCACTTGAACGCCTTCAAATTTCAACTTTTGCATTGGATGTTTGCGGCGCTTTTGCATGGCCGTTGTGGACAATGGTGTTCCTTCGCGCTTGGCCGGAGAGGCACTGCTATCATCGTGACGGCTTCTTTGGCACTGCTTCAAGCACAACGCATAGAGTTTCATCCCAGAATGGCACAGTCGTGGTTTGCACCTTGGCCAAAATCGTTTCGACAGTTTTCGAGATCAAAATGTAGTGTTGGTTTTGAACGATTTAATGCATGAAAGCCATCGCGCCTTGTTTTGCTCCAACCTAAGGAAACACTGGACCGTGGCTTGTCTGTTTCAGCAAACCAGCTTACTGTGGATCCAGCACGGATTTTGCCACAGAAATGAAACGAAAAGTAAGCTTTCAAAATTAAAACTGCATTATATTCCAAGATATCTCAAGATCCTCCAAGACATCCTTGCTCCGCGAGTTGGCGCATTTGGCTTCCTCTTCACTCCCCGCAACATGCCCGTTTTCTCATGTTCTTACCTCAGGTTTGCAGATGGGTCATGTGGCCAAAATCTTCGTGAGGTTTTTGCCTGGTCTATGTCCCGTAGGCTCATGCCCGACCACACTTTTAGTGGATATGCTGAGAAATCTTGAAGCACTATAAGCATATATTATTATCGAAGGAAGTTTAGAAGTCAAACTTCCGGCAATCTGGACAGATGAAAAGCAGAGATGGGAAGAGTCAGAGAGAAGAGAAGAGTAGAAGAGAGAAGATCAGAGAAGAGAAAGAGTCAGAAGAAAGAAGATGCAGATGCGCGAAAAGGTAGGAAAGTCGCGAAACACTGTTTTTCCAATGATTTGTGGCTCCGGAGGGTCGAAAAGTAGGCTCACTAAAGCGGTGGGTGCGGAGCCAGCTGGCCAGATGAGAGATGAAAAATTGCACGCCGTTGACGAAGTCAAAATGCACAAAGCACCACATGTACGCGCCACTTTTGGAGGTTCAGATGTCGTTTTGCGTGGCAGGCGCAAGGGATTGTGCACTTTGTCAAAAGTGACAAGTGAGAAAACATGAGGGTTTTGTGGCATTTCCAAAAAGGATGGCAGGCGTTGGGCATGTGAAGAGGATCTGCAAAGATACATTTTCCGTGGCAGGCGCAATACAAGAGACATCTTCATCGGAGTTAGGAGGTGAGGGGGGTGATTTCCTGCGAGGGGTTGCATTTTGGAGCATCAGATCTTCAGGTTTGCTATGGTGATTTTGCGTGACAGGTGCAGCACTTCGTATGACCTGGCATCACTTTTTCGTGGCAGGCGCAATACTTTCGACAGGTGGACTGGAAAAATCGCAAAACGCATTGGTACGAGGCCGTCAGCTCTGCACTCAACTTTCCATGTTTAAAGGAAGTCTCGCAGAATTGCTTTGTTTTTGATGTTGTCAAGTTCAAAAATTGAAGAAGTCTCGCAGAATTGCTTCGATTTGGATGTTGTCGAAGTCTTGCAGAATTGCTTCGTTTTTGACGTTGTCAAGTTCAAACGTTGAGGAAGTAGATAGACAGACAGACAGACAGACAGAGAGAGAGAGAGACAGACAGACAGACAGACAGATAGAAAGATAGATAGATAGATAGGTAGATAGATAGATAGATTAGATTAGATTAGATTCGGTTCGATTCGAATAGATTAGATTAGATTGAGATAGATTAGATTAGATAGATTAGATAGATTAGATTTGATTAGATAGATTAGATAGATTATATAGATTAGATAGATTAGATAGATTAGATAGATTAGATAGATTAGATAGATAAGATAGATAAGATAGATACGATAGATAAGATAGTGAAGATAGATAAGATAGATAAGATAGAGAAGATAGAGAAGATAGAGAAGATAGTGAAGATAGATAAGATAGATAAGATAGATAAGATAGAGAAGATAGAGAAGATAGAGAAGATAGAAAAGATAGATAAGATAGATCGATAGATCGATAGATAGATGGAATGGATAGGATAGGATAGGATAGATAGATAGACAGATAAACCAGATTAGATTGGATTAGATTAGATTAGGCAGATCGACAGACAGAGAGAGATAGAGAGATAGATAGATAGATAGATGGATAGATTAGATAGATTAGATAGATTAGATAGATTAGATAGATTAGATAGATTAGATAGATTAGATAGATTAGATAGATTAGATAGATAGATAGATAGATAGAGAGATAGAGAGATAGAGAGATAGATAGATAGATAGATACATGGATAGATAGATACATGGATAGATAGATACATGGCTAGATAGGTAGATAAGATAGATAAGATAGATAAGATAGATAAGATAGATAAGATAGATAATGCAGATAAGATAGGTAAGATAGATAAGATAGATAAGGTAGATAAGATAGACAAGATAGATTAGATAGATTAGATAGATCAGATTGGATTAGCTTAGGTTAGGTGGTTTGTTTAGATTAGATAGATAGATCAGATTGTAGATAGATAGATAGATAGATAGGATAGGATAGAATAGAATAGAATAGGGATAGATAGATAGATAGATAAGATGGGTAAGATAGATAAAATAGATAAGGTAGCTAAGATTAGATTGATAGTTAGAAAAGATTAGATAGATAGATAGATCGATAGATAGATAGGATTAGTTAGTTAGATAGATAGATAGATACATTAGATAGATTAGATTAGATTAGACCAGTTTAGAACAGATTAGGTAGATTAGATTAGATTAGACCAGTTTAGAACAGATTAGGTAGATTAGATTGATTAGATAGATTAGATAGATTAGATATGATTAGATAGATTAGATACATTAGATAGATTTGGTAGATTAGATAGATTCGATAGATTAGATAGATTCGATTAGATTAGAGTAGGTTAGGTTAGATTAGGATAGATTAGATTAGATAGATAGATTAGGTAGATAGATTAGTTAGATAGATTAGGTAGATAGATTAGGTAGATAGATGAGATTAGATAGATAGATAGATTAGATAGATAGATTAGGTAGATAGATTAGATAGATAGATTAGGTAGATAGATTAGGTAGATAGATTAGGTAGATAGATAGATAGATAGGTAGATAGATAGATAGACAGTTAGATAGATAGATAGATAGACTGGTAGATAGATAGATAGATTAGATAGATAGATTAGATAGATAGATCGATAGATAGATAGATACATACATAGATAGATAGATAGATGGAAAGATAGATAGATAGATAGATAGATAGATAGATAAGATAAGATAGATAGATAGATAGATAGATAGATGGATAGATAGATAGATAGATAGATCAGATTAGATTAGATTAGGAGGGATTAGATTAGATTAGATTAGATAGATAGATGAGGTAGATAGATTAGGTAGATAGATTAGGTAGATAGGTTAGGTTAGATTAGATAGATAGATTAGATAGATAGATTAGGTAGATAGATAAGGTAGATAGATTAGGTAGATAGATAGGTAGATAGATAGATGGATAGATAGATAGATAGACAGTTAGATAGATAGATAGATAGATAAGATAGATAAGGTAGATAAGGTTAGATTGATGGTTAGAAAAGGTTAGATAGATTAGATAGATAGATAGATAGATAGATGGATAGATAGATAGATAGATAGACAGACAGATAGATAGATAGATTGGATAGATTAGATAGATTAGATAGATTAGATAGATAGATAGATAGATAGATAGATAGAAAGATAGATAGATAGATAGAAAGAAAGAAAGATAGAAAGATAGATAGATAGATACATAAGAATAGAAAGGTAGATAAGAATAGAATAGATAGATAGATAAGAATAGATAGGTGGTTAGATAGATAGATAGATAGATAGCTAGCTAGCTAGCTAGCTAGAAAGATAGACAGATAGACAGGTAGACAGATAGATGCAGGGACAGACAGACAGATAGATGGATAGAAAGAAAGATAGATAGATAAGAATAGATAGATAAGAATAGATAGATAGGTAGATAGATAGATAGATAGATAGGTAGATAGCTAGATAGATTAGATTAGATTAGATTAAATTAGATTAGATTAGACAGGTAGACAGATAGATAGATCGATAGATACATGGATAGATACTATTTTTGAAACTTCCGCCACCGCCTTGTGCGGTACTACTGGTAAATTATGCATGTATATATATATATATATATACATCATGAAATATGTACATAATTCAGTAGTTAACAGAAATGAAGAAGCATTTGGTTGACTGGTTTGGCATGTGCATTTTGGTTACTGTATCCAGCGCTTTGAGAGTGCCGTGTCAGGGGAAGCCACATATTTGCTCTCGAAAGTGGTTGAGACAAACTCAAAGAAATTGCTGTACTATTGCATTCGTGCCCTGGATGTTTGGCGTGAATTGAAAAGCTTGCAATTCACTGCCATTAACGTTTGGTTTGGATCGGCCCCTTAGTTTCATGATCAAGCCGTTGATCGCAATACTGCCACAACTACTCATGTTTCAAGGTTGTATGCTGATGCCAGCTTGGAACCAGTGTCCAATCATCATACGTAACAGAATCCCAGCCGCAATGTTTTGAGGTCAGACGGAGGCTGAGGCAGCGCCCCTCGTTTGCCAGAATGACTCTTCTCAACCTATCCAAACAGGTTCATTTTTGCTTGACTCAAGGTCCCTCAAGTTTCAAGACAAAGCTTTGTGTGCATGAATTGAACTGTGAGGCACCTCGCAAGTCCAAAGTTTGTTGCAATGACGACCAGATTTCAAAAAAAACATCCGCAAGAGATGTCAGCAGGAACATAGTTTTTTTGGAAACGAAGGCTCAAAACGTTGGAATTTCCAAGCCCCGAAAAGGAGCATCAAGCTTTGCAAATCGTTTTTTCTTTTGGCCTCCCCGGTCCTGATTTCGGGTCATTTAAATCTCCCTCTTCGGTTACCCCTAGCCCGCACCCGAAGCAGGGTGAGAGAGCATTGCTTGAACTGGTGCTTCTCAAGGGCCGCCATGCAGCGGGGCAGAGCACAGCACACAACGCGTGCAAGCGCAAGACAAAAATAAGACAAACCGCTTTCTACACAACATGGCAACCCGACATAGGACAGGATGGGATTGCGCAATAAGGCGCAGTCCGCGCTCAAGCAGGAGTTATAGAATACATGATGCCTTTGTTGCTGTGCTGTCAACATCCATAGGTCCATAGGTGACAGGGGTCGCAGGAAACCGCATCTAACGCAATGAAACAACAACCTGAGACGGCGCCGCCGGAACCTTCAAATAAAAGCCATCGCAGTTCAGTTGTTCACACTCAACACTCAAGCGATCCAACAGGGTCAGCCACAGTGGCAAGATATGAAATATTTTGGTACATCTTGGTACTATCCGCATATTGGATCATATTGGTGGATGTGCAAAAGGCACTTTGCACATCTTTGCGCATCTTCGTTCATGGGTCAGGAGCCGTCACAAGCAGGCTTTGCGACCATATGCCTCGGAGACATACCATGCCCGCAACTGAACATATCAAAGCGTCCCCTTTATGTCTCGCGGCCCTCAGTTGGTTGAACTGATCAGTAATTGATCAAGGAGATCCAAAGACAGAACTGCCCTCCCCGTGCGATGCAGTCGGAAAACGACATGGAGGAAATTCCCTATCATGCCATCAAAGGAAGGCTCCTAAGCAAGCTCAAGTACACTTCGGTCAGAGAAGTAAATATCGAAAACTTTTTTAAAAAATATACAAGGGCCAGCAAGGCATGAAGATCAAGCAAACTCGAACATGTACAGCAGTCAGCGGGGGCACACCCCTTATCCTCACCAACTCATACGGAGAAAAAATCGCGACGCGATCGAAAAATAATGAGGCTCCCACACAAGCGCGGGGACGCCCCAGCAAATTTCTATATAAGATGCAGAATTGAAGGTCTTAGGGCCTAAGCAAATGGACTGGAACTACAGTGCAGGTAGCGACAAGTCCCTTACCATGCGTCATCCTACAAAACATAGAAGTGTGACACAAATTGTCTAAGACTTGGACAGGCAGCATAAGGGCTTACTTAGATGTTCCATTGTTTTTCCGAAAGTTCCCAGAATCTGGGAAAAATCAAGTTCACCAGGGAAGAGTGTCGCGTTGATGTGGGACGACCTCTGCGACATTCATAGAGCTGCCTTGCCCCAAGGATATTGATTTGCTTAGTAGGAGGCCCTTCAGCAGAGGCACTGCGAGAGCAACTGCTTTTAAATTGTTTGTTTCGTTTGCTTGAATATTTCTGCCTTGTCACGCGCTCTTGACCCAAAAAAAACGCATTGCCGTTGTTCACCAGGCCTATCTCTCGGCACCTCACTGAAACCGTCCGGTGGCCAGGCTGCACATCACACTTCTGCAAAGGGCCTCCTTCACAATCATGTCGTCGAGGAGCTGCAGGACATGAAACTTGGCTTGAACCTGTAGAGATCTGTAGAGCAGTTTCCTCATTTGTGCCGATGGTGTGAAGCTTGGGTGCACGCACCTGTTCCCACAATTTCCCAAACCCATTGCAGTTACCATCAACCAAGCGGGGGATTGCGCTCCACTGCAACATTGCTTTGTTGGGTTGATTTCGCCCTTATACTCGAAGGATCTTGAATGATCTTGAATGTATTCCTGTAACTATGCAAGATAGCTGGATGTTGTTTGCTCTTCGAAGGATACCTATTTCCCAGGTGAGAATAGCTGAGCTGGTTTTTGCGTTCAGCCCTGGAAAGGAAAACGGTGGACAAACCGTGGGGCAAACATGTTTGTGTAGAGTTAACATGGTTTGGGTAGAGAAACCTCAGAAGGGGGGTTGCTTTTCCCGAGTCTAGGAAAAATTCTTGCTTGTGATACAAGGCAAATCAGGGCAAATGAAAGGATCAAAATGGGTTTCGCAGTCTCGCATCAAAAGCATATTGTGTCCGTCTACTGGTACAACGAGCTAATTTTACGTGCTTTGGACTTATTGGATGCGGTCTAGAAAACCCAGAGTTCGGGCACCTCTGTGTGGCAAGTGACCTTGCAGACTGCTGATTTTTCCACCTTCCGGGACTGTTTTTTAAAATGTTTCAAGTGTTTTTTCCTGTTTGGACTTCCCATGTTGGGTGCCTAAGGTTTGCTTGACCATGTTGAGAACTTGGTGCCCTGCCAGGTATCCAAGCATGCCGCCTACAGCCGTTGAGCAAGTGTATTTCGCGTCTTTTGCAGACGATCCATATGTGGCGCAGCTAAAGCAGATTTTTCATTGCTCTTCTTGACCACGTTGTTGGTAACGAAAGTTTTTGACTTTGTCATGCAACAAGATGATAACAGTTATCTTAAATATGATGTATATGATATAACATGCATGTTTGGACAAGGTGGGGTTGCTTGAAAGATCTTGAGCCCAACCTTGTTCAGCGACATTGAACATGAAACACCGGCCCACCAGAGAATTGTCATGGATTGAGCCTTGATGAGCTTGAGCAAAGGTGCTTGGCTCCTGGACCTCGGGAAAGGCTCGGCCAGTTTCTCAAGGTTTCTGAAGGCCTGAAGGCTTGTCCACACGTTTGGTTTCCGCACAGGGACGTACCAAGTCGTAGGTTCCCGTTCTAGTCCCCAATGCTTCTGCCATCAGCTTAGCAGCTCACGCAGCTGGACGTTCTTGATTTTCCATAGTTTTCCCCATTCCGATCCATAGGAACTTCGGCGCGTGCCCCAGGTAGGATCATCCAGCACTGATTTTGAAATCTTCGTCCCAAAGACTGGACGAGGGGTTCTCAGAAATGGTGGTTTGATGTGGTTTGTGTGTTGGGTCAGATGTTGGCAATAGTCCCATTGCTCATCTTGCGTAATCTTGATCGGCCATTTTGCCGGGCTATGGGAAAGTTTGTTTTGGGATGTTTGGGCGATGACACGCAGGTGGGGCACTTTTCGGGCGAAAAAACATGGCCAGTTTCTTGCAGCTGAGGTTTGTTCTTTGCTGGGGAGCATACCTGTCGTTTGATGTATGGCACTGTGCAGGCGCTATCATGAGACTTGAGAACGAGTCCTGATTATGGAGAGTATGGGGGAAACAGAGTTGCGTCGGATCCTCTTTCAACCATCGCAAAGCTTCGGCCTGGAAACTTCGAATGAACGCTGACGACTGAAGCACGCTGTGACCCCTGGCAGGCGGCAGTTGTTTCCGGGGCACGGGCCGCGCAGCAGGTTACTTGGGTTGAAGATCCCTGCATGATGGCCGCATGAACAATCACTGAAGGTGCCAACAGAGTCCTGTACTTGAGTATTTGAGCTTGCAAGCAGTAGAGGGTGATGTGGGGGCCCTTGAGTGCCCTCAACCTATGTTTGTTCAGCATTTTCGCAACAGGCTGAGAACAGAGGTTCCGTTCCAAAAGTTTTCCTTTGGCCCTGAGGTGATTCGCCCGGGAGGTCCTCCACTTTCGGAGTTGTCCACTTGGCCGCTTTTCGATGACACATTGTATCTCGGTCAGTGGCGCCTCGCTAGGGGGCACAACAGAGATATTGTTATTTTATGCATCTATTTGTTTACTCATTTATGTATCTATTCGTTCATTCGTTTACTTATCTATTCAATGTATTATATAAAACTATAGAAACTATGGAAAATGCAATAATTAAGTCCATTTGGCAAGAAAAAAATGTTATTTCAGCCAAACCCAGCCCCCTTACCCGAAGAACCACCGAGGTCATCATTATGCGTCGCTTGCTTGCATCTAATTTGCATTTGGTGGCAACTCTTTCTGAAGTCAAAGGAACCACCGAGGTCATCAAGCAACTCTTTTATTTTCACTTGCTGCGCAAGTTGCCGCTGTTTTGTTTTCGCTGGGTCAAAAACGGTCAAGTGAAGGACGAGCTGGTGCCATCCAATCGTCAAGAGCCGCAGCAGCATTCAAAATTTGCCTATGGGCTCCTGTGTCTACTGCCTTCAAGGTTACACGTCATTTTTCAAGATGTTTGAATTCAAAAATGCACTTCCAGTTCCAGCCGAACGTTTTTCAGAAATATTTGGAAATGCACCGCTCTCTTTGAAGAGGGTCACCTTGCTCCTAGGAAGTTTGCAGTGATTCTTGCGACAAAGTCTGGCAGCGCCTGGCGTACCAAGTGCCTAGCTACTTTCAAAACTGGTCGGGCACCTTTGCTGAAAGGTGTTTCTGATTTTTTTTGGATTCTCTGCAAGCATTGTTGGCAGCATAAAGAGAACAATCATTTCAAGATGTATCCAGCAAGCCGTTCATAGTCATATGCATAGTATTGCTTTCCGAGTCTTTGTGTTCCTAGCATACCTCCCAATATAACCCTATCCAAGTTTTTCGTTTGCTGGACTCGCCATCCGGGAGGCAACCCACCTGCACTTGCCATTTTGAGACCCAGGAATTCCTCGTGCAACAAAGACTTGGTGGGAAGGGCTCGGTTGGACAGAGCATTGCTGGCTAGGTCATGGCAGGTGGGGAGGGTTTGTTTCCCCAGGGTTACCATCACACACACATGCCGATAGGAAACATTTCAGCAAGAGTATTTTGCCGCAGGTGCTTGCAACCCGTCTCGTTCTGCCAAAACTTCGTGTGACTTCATGTTCAAGTCCCATTACTTCCTAATCTTATTTTTTGAGGTACTTGTACTGTGTTATTTCATGGTCTTCTTCCATTCTTGCACGGGGAAGTGCATGAGGCCACCTCCGTCTAGCAGAAAGCAATGGAAAAAACTCAACTTTCAGGCAGGAAGATATTTTCTTGCGCGGATGCATGAGACGGAGCCACAATGAGAAATGAGGCGAATGGTTTGCATTCGTTTGTTCAAAGTGGATCACCTTGTCCTCAATGCTACTCAATGCACGAAACCTGGCAGATGGACCAATGCCCGACATTTTCCGTGTTTATTCGGTAGCAGCCTGCCATGTTTTAGCGAGAGGTGGAGGCCACCGCCAGCTGAGCCATGCAGGAGCAGAAGTATGCCTCCTGTGTCGGATACGGCAAAGATTTGTGGAATGTTGCCTGGCATTTCTTCTTAACATTTTTGGCCTTGGATCGTGAGATTGATACAGTAGGGGTCGCACCAGCATCACGTGATTCAGGGTATCTCGCAATCATAATCCACCATAGAGCTAAGAGAGCAAATAAAGCCAAGGCCTTGAGAGAAGACACTGCAGATTTGGTGATATGCCGAGCCTCAGATTTCAGGGGCTCCATGGGCTGGTTGACGGACCTATTTGATACTATTTGAATTTGAGGATTTGAACCAATCTGAGTCGGATTTGTTCTGGCAAAGTTCGACCGGACACGAAGACAGGGCTCAAGATCACCAATCGTGTGAAAAAGTTTATTTATCATGCTGACTTGCCAGCAGCGTTAAAAGTTTGATATTGAATACTTGATTTAATCACGGTTCACTTCTAATCACGTGGTCTTCACGCTTGCCGTGCCATGAGGCCACCCAGTTACTGTACATCACACATTGCAATACATTCATATAGCTGTAGACATCCGTGTTCTGCATGTGGCTCATTGTGGCTCATTTGGCATTGTGGCGCTCACGTGCCATCTGAATCCACAAGCAGCATGCCTTGAATCATGTTGCATCACTTTCCATGTCAGGAAGTGGCTCTCAGCATTTCCGGCTTCCCTGGGACTGCTTGCGCTCCGAAATGAAGAAAGATTGGACGCTTATCGAGAATCCAAGGTATTGGGAAAGGAGAACAGCTTTTAAAAGTTGCTTCTAAATCCCATTGAAACGGTTTGCCACACGCTTGCATGCAGGATGATGCAGGCGTGTTTGTGTGTGCGTGTGCTGCCATCTCTTGGCACTGACCTGTGCGGTGCTATCTGCACAGCGATGGCCCAGGATGGAATTGGGCCTCACACGTTCGATGCTGTCTCTTGGCTTTACTATCTTTACTGAAGCTGGTCGCCATGACATCGCCGCTAATTTCTTGATATTTTTAGCGGACCCATAGGGCCACCCATAGCCCATAGCATTTCCAACCAGCTGGGAGTGACTTTGTTGGCGTACGCTGTCAATCGCTGTCATCATGGATGGCCAGGGATGAAGGAGTTCCAAGCCCACTGACAGTGCCCAGATCGCAGTTGGCACGTTGGGACACAGATTCCAAGGATGTATTGCGGCATGTGACAAGCTTTAACAAGCTTCACAGAGAATACCCCTTTATTTTCCGGGGAAACATGGAAAGCAAGCTGCACGTTGTTGTTTCCATGGCTTGTGGCACATGCAGCTCTCTCCCCAGTGAGGACACCAGCTTTGGCGACCTGAACCCTGTGCAGCAATCAGCTGCCTTGCGCATTGGTTATCGAGAGTGGCTATGGTGAGATGATGTGAAGCCACAAGAAGCCATATAATGCCCGGATTCTGTAATTTGCTGATGTGAGATGCAGCAGATGCGCCATTTGCGGTTGAGTTCGGGGTTTTCTTTCGGTTCTGTCCGCACCGAGAGCAAAGTGTCAAGGCCGTGACATGTGTAGGTCCGAAATGTGCCACTGTGTAGGTCCGATTCTTAGACATGTAGTGGCAGTGGCACCTTGCGCCCACAATTCTGTGTTTTAGTTAGGTCCAGCGCGGGATTTTCCATGCAATTTGCTTGGCTGCGGGCAGCCGCCTGCGCTTTGGAACTTTCCAGGGTCGGAAAAAATTGAGACTGTGGCTGGAGCACCTGAGGCTTTATGCAATTGGTGAAAGTGGCCAAAGACTTGGGAAGGAACCGCCCCCAAAGATATCAAGTGGGAAAGGAGCATTTGTAGCGGAGGTTGAGGGACATCATCTCGTCACGGCGATTTTCATCACCATCATCATTCATCATCGTCATCAATGCATTTGAATGCATTTGAATTCTTTCAGAGCGTTCTCCACGCCAGCAACATGAAAGAAATGTTGTGTTTGGCACCCCTTTGGTCACACAAATTACAACTGCATGCTCTCTCCCGTTTGATCCCGTTTGATCCCGTTTGCCTTCAAGTATCTTCAAGTCCGTTGCTTCGGAGGTGGCATCGAAGACTTTGGCAGCTGCATGGGCCAAACTTGAGGCAAGGCAACATGCCTGGAAAGAAGAGCCGGGGATCCGAGACGATATGAGACGATCCATCATCGACGAAGTTGGATTGTTGGATTCTAATTCCTTGAGTTTCCCCGAAAACTTACAGGGTGCAATATGCTGCAAAATGGTGCAAAGAAGTGAAGTGTAAAATATTTTCAACTGAGGCAAGAAGCCCGCGAAATCCGACTTTTGGAAAAGGAGGAGGACCGTGGAACCGACCAAGACAGGGCGAGTTCCGATTTGTGCATTGTGCTGGAACTTGGCCATCTCAACCAGGAAGTGTGGAAGCGGGTCCGAATGAGTGAGAACACATGAAAGGATTGATAGAATTGAAGAACCTATATAGTATCTATAGGTAACGTATGCAAATGTGTTTGTCACGTTTTGCTTCAAGTCCCTTGCTGAGAGACTTCGTGGCTAGAGCAATTGTGTCATTATTTCCGCAGCACGAGGGCCCAAGAAATAGCAACCATGACGCCATGCCGAAAGCAAAGTCCCGTAGCCCCCCCCGGAAGCCGCAGAAGTCAAACAGTGTCTTGGCACCGATGGAGGTGTGTGTGAAGGCAGCGAAGGGAACGTGGAGTAAGTTTGAGTAAGTCCGAACCTGAAAACTGTGATAATATTTTCGTCAAAGCATGCCATATCAATTAGTATATGATCATGTTATACAGAGTTTCGCTCCCCTTGTCAGGAAATAGAATAAAACTGAAAGGATTCGATGATTTGAAGTTCTGGGAATCCATTTCAGCCTTTGTCTCCACAACTCTGACTTGATGACAAGTTTTCAGGCTTGCCGCAGCTGAAGAAGACCTACTATGCACCCCTGCCACCTGTCATAATTTGTCCATGTTTGCCGCCTTTGTGGGCTGTGGCTTCTAAAGCACAACTTGCCCTCCATGCCTCCTGTGCTTATGTTCCTTTGAACCAAAAGACGCTTGCATCCACCTCGAAGAGTAGAGTAGACGCTGTCAACGCTGGTAGTTTACCAATTACTGGCCGCCGACATTAGCCAACTATTGTTTTCCGCTTGCCCTCACTTCACAATTTTACAAGTTCTTGTTTCGACTTTTATAGTAGCTCCCAAGGCAGCTATGCTCGGTGAACCTTTCAAAGCACACTTATTCCTGCAAGGATGTGCGGCTGGGTGTTGCCACTTGGCAACAATGTCAAGAGTTCACAATGGCAACACAATGCAGTTCATGATTTGTCCGTCAGACTCCTGGGACTTCAGAGTTAAATCAAGAGCATGTCATCATCTGATTTGCTATGACATATATATATATATATATATGACATGTTTTCTTAACAAAGAGGCCGTCCACCTATGACTGTGAATCTGGAAGTTTTGCGCGGACGAGCCCAGGTGGAGAGAGGTGAGCAGCGACGGCTGCCTTTTATGCATGTGGACCGAGCCGATGACCGCTCCGAGACTGTGCCAAAGCTGCCATCTTTGAGCAAAATCATGAATTCGATTCATAGCAACTCGGCAACACAAGACATTGCAAATATGCACCGACATCACGACATCTAGAAGATGCTGCTTCGTGTTTACGTTTGTTGCTGAATAGTCGAATAGTCCGTGATACTCCCATGTGCACGTTTGCCCTACAGCCCACAAGAGCCACAGTAACGCCTGCCTTTAGTACAAGCACGTTTCTGACCAAACTTCCCCATGAGCCAAGGAATGAAGCTCACAGAGCCAAAGGAACCGACCAAAGCTCAAAGCATGCAGAGTTTGCAAAGTTTGCAGAGCCCAAAGAGCGGCAGCTTGCGATTGAATCCGCTCTTCGGTGGATCTCCACCCTACCGTGGGGGACCGCGCCTTCCAGTCAAACGCAAGCGCTACATGTCAGGCTTGGATGGGAGATGATGAGATGAGGATATGAAACAATGCTTCTAGCCAACCAGGGAAGGCGTTGACGATGGTTCTCAACGCCGTGCAACGCTTTGCAACTGATGCCTTTTAAACTACAGTTCTTCATGTGATTGATTGGAACCCGGCAAAAGGTTGCACGGACATGCATTTCAGATACAGAAAGGCCCAATGAACCGAAAAACCGATTGCATATCATGACTGTTTTTTATGATGTTATTATGATGTTATTATGATTGCTGGCACGTATCATTACAGTATTACATTCATTGCCACGTGTGGAAATCAGAGTTGATTTTTTTGCCAGGTGATTCACGTGATTCTCCCGTTGCTCAGGCACGTTGGCAAAGGTGAAGTTGCCCCGTTCACGACCGTCTTCGGGAAAAAAGGGGAAACGCGCCGCTTGGGCAAAAGAAAGCGAGACTGAGTCGCTTGTCACAAATCAGCTGTGGCCGGGGGGCTTTTTGGCAGGCTTATTTTGGTGGACCTAATGCCGTTGAAGAATGATAGGGCACAAGTTGCAAGGGAATCCACTTCTCAACAGATCGGCACATTTCGAAACAAGTCCAACAGTCCAACAGCAAGAAAGAATTGAAAAGAGCTTGAGGTTTGTGGAGTACAACGAAGATGACTCTCATGAGGACAGACTTAATACCTGTGCTGGCGCGGCTTGCTATCTTCTACACATTTGTGCAGTGCCATGCAGTCTCCTTCTTGGGATAGGGGACATGCGGATGGAGAGACCAAGGTCCGGAATTTAATTTGACATAATTTGGCTCATTGTCACAGATTCTCACATGTTTCATTGCAGGAGGAAGCAGCGTCATCCCCGAAATCAGAAGATGAATCGAGCTCTTCGAGTTCATCCTCTGACTCATCTAGTGCCGCGTGGACTACATCAGAGGGCCTCAGCATGCCTCAGCAACATCGTCTAGTGGTGACAACAGCTGTGACAACCCGAGCCGAAACGGACTCTAAGGACTCCAGCTGGAGCGACTCCAGTGATGATGAGCATGAACCACCACCACCTTCGGCTATGCGTGGTCGTTCAACTGCCATGACTCGAAGAATGTCGGCTTTTGCGACTTGGCTCCATTTTAGACCGCTTTTGTTTAGCGAAACGTGACAAATGAAATGATGCGCGGGATCACTTTGACCACAGCAGTCAAGCTCCAAACACATCTCAAGTCTTAAACTTCGAATCCAGTGTGACGTTGTTTCGACTGGTTTGTGTTGAGCGCTTGCAAGTCCATTGCTTTCCACAATGGTTCTTGGACGCTGTAGAGCTTCATGGTGCTTGGTTCCAGGGCAATCACGTGGGCGGATCTTGGGCTACCAGATTCGTTGGATACCGTCCTGCTCGTAGCAGGTAATGTTCAATTACAATGGTTTCCATTGTCTTGACTGCACGCAGTTGCAGCGGATGCATAGTTATCAAGACAGTGCCACCAACAGGACAGGGTCATTTTTAACGCTTGCAAATGGCAGTAACCATGTGGGTTACTGCCAGCAAGTTGGTGGTGATAAGAAATTCAAACATTTCAATATATCATGACACTGGAACATGGATGGGCAGCTCTGGGCGAAAGCCCCCAGAATCGTCTCGGTGATGCCAACCCCGGACCAATAAGCCCTGACAATTAACTGGGTGGCCGACGCCGTCAGAAGAGCCAAAAATTATTGAAACTGGATCAAATTGGCATCCTCATGTGCTCTCTTATAAGTTGGGTTTATTGATCGCGGCTTGACATTGAGCCCAACACGTTTGATTTTTGAAAACGTCAAGACAATGGAAATTGATGGGAAAAAGATGAGGTCCAAGAAAAAATGAAGTAGGAAGAAACGATGGCAAACAAACGAACAGATAGACAAGTAAAATCTTAAAAAATAGGTTCTAGGTTCTATCTTTTTCAGGGTTTGTGATACTGATAAGATAAAATGATGAAAAGCGAGGAATATGCTGCACAAAATCCAAAAACCTGTTTGTAGCTGAAAACGTTTTTTCCAGAACAGGGAAAGTTGGTGAAATCTAATGGTCAGATGAATAAAACGGTTTGAAAAACTGATGAAACCGAATTGATAAAACAAAGAAATAATAGGTGGGGAAAACTGATCTAAATGATAAAATGAAGAAATGGATTGGGTAACTGATGGGGCCTAACTATAAAATGAAAAGATCGATAGGGTAATCATAAAACATGATAATATGAGCAAATTGTGGGCGAGTTGATCTGTGTGTGTAACGACGGTGACGTGGAGCAAACCAAATCAAAAGATGGTCTTGACTGCGAAACAAATTGCCTATTTTGCGCTCGTTGATGTAAACACAGATGCCAAAAACAGTACCCCTGACTGAAAGTGACTGCTCGCGCGCGGCTGGTTCTTCCTACAAACATTACATTTGAAGTAAAAAGATGTCAAGACAGCCTCCTAGATGTGGCCCAGGTGCCCTCACCGTTGTCAAGACAAAACGAGTACAATTGAATCATGCTAGTAGTTGAATACGGCTGCAAAAGGCACAGGTTTCCGGTTATGGCATTTGAGACCGGCACTATATCAATGTATGGTACCTACACTGCACCTGCACCAGTATCCTTCAAAGGGATGCGCAGATTTCCGTTTCCGAGGCGATGATGCTACCACTTCTCGATAGCAACAATCAGCCTGTCCGGCGAGCCTCAGTGGCAGAGGCAGCCACGGGACATGCCATGCCGCCATGACTTGTCATTGCCAAAAGGCTTGCAAAGCTAAACCACTTTGCTCGTCCCTTCATGTCTCAGTCTGCCCCAGTGAAATCCTGTGTCACTGATGCTGCTTTCCAATGGAGGCATTCTTAAAAGCCTTTGACGAAAGCAAAGTTGAGGACGTGACCACGTGCAATCGGCCAGGTTGCATGTGCGGTCAGTTCCCGTCATTGTGAATGATGATAGATCATGTGTGTGTTTGGTGTGCTTTCCGAGCGTGCAGCACTAGATCTTGCAACGAAAGGGAAATGCCAATAAAGCCACCCTGCCAGCAGATCTGCTAGATCCGAGCCTGTCAGGACAACAAGCCAGGTAATGAATTGGATTTTCCTTGGAGTGACGAAGAGTGTCGAACCTGGGATGGGAAAGTATGGGCAAGTCATGGACAGCCCATGGTCCTAAATGATCTTGGCTTTGGTCCTTCAGCGTCACTAGGACTCTTCCTAGATAGGACTACTTCCCAGAGAGGGTTCACAAGTTGCTTCAGGAAGCAGTACCCAACGTTACATGGTTTGTACAGTTGTCCGCTGATGGCTTGGGAGTTGTCAGATGATCCTGCTAAGGAAGTGTTTTCATCAAGTTCGACACTGACACAGACTCGTGGCCAAGAGTCGAACTACTGACTACTGCGAATGTGTCCTGTGATATCCTGTAATTTTCAATATTTTCTGGAAACATTGCCAAGCACAAAGCCAAAGCAGCTGAACCTACGGCTGTGTCCCATGTGAGGATGGGGAAGTTGCAACTGAAGACCTTGAGATAATGCTTCGATACATGGGATGCATCTTTGACCGAAATTTGTGTGATTCTTTGGCGGTGTTGCGCTTTCTACAGGCAGCCATGTGCATTTGATGAATTGGGCAAACATGAGAAGTACAAGCGGCCAAAGAAAGTACAAAAGAAGTACGCAGAAGCAGTTGCTTTCAGGTGTTTTTAGGATAATGTTGCCATTGCTACAGGTATCCTGCGGAAAGGTGAAGTGGAGAAGTTGATTCAAGACATGTTCAGCTATGCAACCGTGAGCTGGGAGGCACTACAACACAGCACAATCGCAAAGTGAAAGGGCGTAGAACGCCAACCTCATGTCGAATATTGGATTTGAAATTAAGAAAACGTGATCTGACTTCGCCACTTCGCTGCAGAGATGCCTCTGAAACACGCTGCATGGGACTCGGCACCACAGGAATGGATGTCTTTCCTGGAGAAGTATCGAGAAGCTTCTTGGCCATAGAGATCGTGCACTGGTCATTTGGGAAAGTTGAAAGATGTCGAAAAACAAGAATGAGCTTTGTATAATCCTATTTTCCTGTAGCCTTCCTGTATCTTCCTTATTTTCCTATTTGTCGTCTGCCCTGAGGTTGATGAGCAGTACTTGCGGGATGAGTTTTCAGCTGCTGACTTTGATGGAAATGGCACTTTGGATGTCGACGAGCTGAATGACCTGTTGAAGAAGATGGGCTACATTACTGATGCGGCTTGGAGCAAAGTTGGACATCATGGAAACACATAGAAACTAGAGAACCACATCTTGTTGCATTTTCAAGATTGATGACGGGACAGAATTGGAACCTATGCCTCTAGACATCCGTTGATAGGTTTACTGTCCAGTCACGGATACAAGTTGCACAAGGATTCAAATTGCTTGATGCAACGTGATGCAACCATTTGCACCCACCTCCGCCAGTCGCACACGGTGATGGAAGCGATGGAAACCATTGGCTGTGCTGGGAAAGGCACCGCCACTTGGCAATTACCCTGTGTCGCGGTTTTGGAATAGCGGCAGCTGCGCCTGATGACATGGCCATTGTCGCAGTGCTCGGGTTAAGCTAGAGTCAAAGCATCCGGTCAAAGAACTTCAACATATCGTAACTTCATACTATATCTATACCTTCGCTGTGAGGGTGCGCATATTCTTCGTTAGAACGCATGTTAAAGCCTTATACTTATATAACCTTATATCTTCAATGGATTGTTATCTTTTTGGGAGTTCATGCAGGGTCTTCATGTCTTCTATCTGTGTATTTCATTTTGTATATGAATTTGTCCCGGTTGCATCCCGTCCCTGGACGCTTTTGCAGCAGAGGTTGACCTCCGACGCTTTGAAAAACTCCGGGAGCATTTGCGCTGCACTGAAGGACTGATGCGGCGCATGATATGGTGAAGCGGCAAATTCAAAAACCGACGGGGTCCAGAGATGTCAAGAGCAAACAAGAGCAATTCTTGGAACATTGCCAAATATTGTCCAGGGATGTCCAGGGTTATTTGGTCTTATTTGCAATGCTGTTACATTTGATGCCTCTGCGAACTCTTGAGGCTTGGCGAGGGCTGATGTCAAACAGCTTCGAGCATTGTATGACCGAGTCGCCCACACAGCCAAGGCACGATGGGATTGATAGGTACACGGAACGAGTTGTCACGTTGATCCAGTTAAATTCTGTCAGTCAGCGAACATGAAAAATAGTGTTTCTCCATACACCCGTTGCAAGCACAGATTAGCCCCCATAAGTTCTCCATTCCGGTTGATTTGGCTGTTTGTCGTGCAGTCTGCCCCATCCCAGGTATTGCACCTGCAGTCATGTGTGTTTGTCTTCGTTTCCAGAAGTCTTTTGATGTTTTTCGACCCTTTATCCCAAACTGTTTCTGAACATGACGCCCTCATGTTGCGTTTAGTTATTCTGTGTTTCAAGGGGTCTTTGCCAGCTCCATCCTGCGCGCGAACCTGCCATGTTGTTTGTTATCTGTTGGTAAGATCTCCTTCCAGAATGGTTTCCCAACAACATGAAAGGCACAAACACAACCAGGTCCACGAAGGAGTTTGTTTGCCCATTTTTGCTTGTTTGTTGCAAGGCGGGCCCGGCATAGATGTCTTTTTGCGCGCGCTGTGGAAGAATACATTGTGACCAGCCACGCTTTGTGATTAGACACCTTTCCGGAATAGGATGATACCGGAGAAAAGAAGCAAAAGAAGCACTGGAACGGATTCAGCCTGTAAGGACCCTAAGGTTCTTATCCGGCACTGGCACCAGTGTTTTTTCCCTTATCTAGGGCTTGAGAAGTTTGAATTGTCCACAGGAATTCAATGGGTTTTCCTGGGTTTTTCCGTTTTCTTTTCCAAGATCGACAAGTTTACCCTGCTCGACTCACCTAGACTGTGCCCACTGGTTCCGCAGGTCCAGCAACGCATGCGGAAGTTGGATCTCGGTTCCTAGAAGCATGCAGGGATATAGGTCCTGATGGTTTGAGCTGTGGGTTTCAGGTGCGTTCTGCGTCAGTACTAATAAAGAAAGTGTTTCATCAAACTGTAACTTGCACCTCAAGTCATTTCCTTGGTCTTGGATGCCCAACCATGGCTTAAAGGTGAGCTGCGACCCTCCATGTAGCCGGCACTGCAGCGAGCATTAGACTTGCTATCCAGGCATGTTGTTTTCCACTTGCTTCCACACCCCAAACGGCATACAGTGCATTCATGTCTTTCCTCGACCTCCAAGGTATGGGAAGCCAGCAAGACATTGCGAAGAAACTCATCGCTGAGCAGCAAGAGATGCCAGTAGAAGATATTTGGCGTATCATCCAGTGCCCTTTGCTGTGCCCTGATCTGCCCTTTGCTGTGCCCCTGTGCTGAGCGAGTGAGAGTGCCCAAGCGCTGTTGCCATCACTTGCGCCCCTGTCTCCAGAGGAGACTCAGCCGCGCACTGATCACAGAAAAAGAGAATCAGGTGAACATACAAAAATAGTTATCTATCTATCTAATCTATTGATAACTATTGATAACTATTGATATCTATTGATATCTATTGATATCTATTGATATCTATTGATATCTATCTATCTATCTATCTATCTATCGATCGATCGATCTATCTATCGATCTATCTATCTATCTATCTATCTCTCTCTCTATCTCTCTCTCTATATATCTATCGATCGATCTATCTATCTATTTCTCTCTCTCTCTGTCTATTTCTATCGATCGATCGATGCACTATCTATCTATCGATCTATCGATCGATCGATCGATCTATCTATTTATCTATCTATCTATCTATCTATCTTTCTATCTATCTATCTATCTATCCTATCTATCCTATCTATCTATCTATCTATCTATCTAACTATCTATCTATCTATCTATCTATCTATCTAATCTTTCTATCTATCTATCTATCTGCGTTTATTTACATATTTAGATATATTTTTATATATACATATATTTATTTCTTATTTACATAAATATATATATATGTGCGTGTGTGTGTGTGTGCGTGGGTGGGTGCGTGTTCTTATCTGGACTCCTGCGTACATGTCTTGCGATACTTGTACGCAATGTGATGAAGGCAAATAGCTCAACCATCTGCGAAGATGAAAGTTGAAAAGCAAGAGAAATTGCAAGCAAACTTGTACTGGACGCGCGACAAATGATCGCGAGTTTTGCCTTCGAAGTGTCGAAGAAGCCCAGATTTCAGTGTCTCATAAAAGTGATTGCGCTGCGCTTCCTGCAGGGCCATCACTTTGACTCCGAAGCTGTGAGAGCAGGTACTTAGGCTACCAGATTAGCTTCGAAAGGGTGGCGCATATCTCCAAGGAAGTTGACAACGATTCCAGCGGCTACATTAGCTTTCAGGACTGTTCATCTCCAACACCTTCTAGCTGCCCACAATGGATTTGTGATTGGATGATATCGGATGCAATTTGGGAACCTTCAAACATCGACAAGATTGCAGATATGTGATGTATATCGTCGCAATAAATGGTGACTTCAGGTCTGTGTTTTCCACCGGCTTCCACTACCTTGAACGAATGAAGCGGGCAGAGAATCTATCATGATCCACCTGGCAATGCCATGCCGCAGCGGCTCGGTACGGTACCGCATACCGAACCAATAAATGCAAAGGGCATATCCAGCAAGATGACGTACCAGGCAGCAATTACGCAAAGATGTTCTGGAATCAAAATTAAGGTACTGCATGCACAGCCCCCTTGGCCTGTACTGCGCATGTCAACTTGCGCGCAGGTGTCACCGGGGAGTTCAGTACCTCAGCCTGCAAATGATCCAGCCAGCATCGCTGTGCTAGATCGTCCCTCCATAGCACCCACTGGGTGCACGCCGCTATTGGGTGCCCGGGTCCTCTACGCTAGTTACATGCGAAAGGCCCTTGCCAATGCCTACGTCTCGCCTACGCTGAAACATCTCGCTAGAAGGGTACCTATGCACGAGCACTTCTATATTCTTCTGGCCTTGCTCCTAGCCCTACGCATGCGATCATTGCCCGATTCAGAACCTATACGCGATTCAGAAACTACGATTCAGAAACTACGATTAGGAAATTATTCCGCGCGATTCAGAAACTAATACGTGCGATTAGCAAACCACGATTAGGAAACTATTACGTGCGATTCAGAAACTACGATTAGGAAACTATTGCGTACGATTAGGAAACTACGATTAGGAAGCTATCGCGTACGATTAGGAAACTACGATTAGGAAATTATTTCGCGCGATTCAGAAACTATGAGTGGGAAACTCTTTCGTGCGACTCATAAACTACGGTTCCAAAATCATGGACCACACGTTCATACTTAAGGGTATCGGCCGACTCGCCGCCCTAAAACGGTTGTCAATTTTTGCGATTGCAAACTTCGATGTTGTGCAAGGCATGCTGGCACGGTGGGCTGAGGTGGGGTTAATAACATTCCTTGGCACTTGCACACCGACATGATGCTACGTTAGAGATGGGGTGGGGTGGGATGGGGTGGGGCCAAAAACGTTCCTTGGCATTTGCACACCAACATGATAATACGTTAGAGATGGGGTGGGGTGGTGTGGTGCTAATAACGTTCCTCGGCACTTGCACACCGACATGATGCTACGTTAGAGAGGTGGGGTGGGGGGGGGGGTGGGGTGGGGCTAATAACATTCCTTGGCACTTGCGCACCGACATGATGCTACGTTACAGATGGGGTGGGGTGGAGTGGGGCTCATAACGTGCCTTGGCAAATGTGCACCAACATGATGGTACATTAGAGATGGGGTGGGGT